TGAAATTAATTACGTATTCGTAGAGTTAAATGTGGGGCTTTCTGGTTTTTTTTTAGGGGGGGAGGGGGCACCAATAGTCAGTTTCTGACAAAACCTTCGCATGAAACTATTGTAGCGATGATTGACATTATTTAGTGGAGTTCAAACTCTTGGGAGCTGAGTGGTTGTTACAGGCACTTAAACTGGAGAACAATTGGGTTTTGAATGACAGATAAAATACTTACAAAAAAACCCCCCAAGGATTCCTCATCAGACCCAAACAGAATTACATAAAAGCCAACATTATGTGACCTGCTATGGCATAATGAGGAATAACCCCCATCCTTGACTTTTTGAGATTTATATACCATGTTAAAGAACAACTCTTTAGCTTTGGAATGATATCAAATTTATTCTGTAGCTCATTTACTTCCAAAGATATGCCGCAGGAAAGTTGGTAGTGCGTTGCTTAACATCCGCGATCTCATTTTGAGAAAAACAGCTTTGGAAAAAAGTTGTGTGTTGCACGTTGTGCATTGCAAGCTCTGTGTGCAAAGTGTACATACATTCGCGTGTGGGACAATTTTGTAAACAGTTTCTGAGCGCGCACACGCTATGGGCACAGATTGGATCGGCGCTGCAATATGTCACGTATCTAAGAAACAACACGTACAGCGCATGCTCTATTGCCTATTCATACAATATTGTTCAATCAGATTGTGTTATTTTCATTACGTAGTGAAGCCCCGCGAACTAGACACTGTCATTGGCAATGCAACAGCGCGTTTTGTGCACCATTTTCCACAGCTGATCATGAGTTGCTAGGCCACTACAGACTGATGTCGCTGCTAGAAATAAACAGAGCAGGCAATACGCTTTCGAATGGTAACACAAAGGTATACACAATACTCGATTCTCTTAAAATTTCACGGTGAACTTGGGTCATTTTTTGTTGTTCAGAAGAAAATTACTGAAAATTTTGGAAAAACTTCACACTAGCACACTTTACAAATCGTCATTTTTTTCACTCTTGGAAGTAATTTTTTCACCACAAAAATACACAGTGTGAATCTTAAATACCCTGGCTACTCAAAAATTTGAAAATTCGAAAATTGAGTTTAACATGATTTTTCACACATAGGGAACTTCAGACGCCGATAACTCAAAACAAAGTTTTGGGGGACATTCCTCATTTAGCCTCAGCAAGTAGCATATCCCCAAATCTTAGATGTCTAAACCAAAATGATTTGAGTTCTCACACGTACTTCCTTCTTGGAAACTGTGCGCCAAGGACACCAGTGGATGCTGAGGTGATGATAAAGGTCACAAGAGTTGCATGTGTACTTTTCTATCGCCCTCCAAATTGATACCTTTATTTTCGGGTAAGGAGGAAACCTGTTTCATGTGGGTTATGTCACAACGGCGTGATGCAAATGATACGGGAAACATGTACTTCCTTCAAATCAGGAAAAGTCATCATCAGCTTCAGATTCAGCGCATGTGTGACTGGGTGGGGATTTTTTTTTTTAAGGTACGTTCGCGAAAAGATGTAAAAAACGGTGGTCTATTTGAGGGTGGGCTTGTTGTAAGTGGTGACAACCTGTCAAATTACATGTACCTTGACTTAAAATCTCTTTTTAACCACACGCACGCAGCATATAGGAAATGTGATACATGTCCTATTACCTATCTATGAGATAAAAAAAAAATATGATGAACTCTGTGATGAAAGACTTTTATGACTGTTGTCAGAAATTCTGACCGAGCATACTGATTGAAATGTCAAGGGTTAAAGCTGATGGTTCAAGTTCCTTACTTTAAGTGCTTTCCTTTTTTAATCCTTGAACTTTTCTTCAAATCTTACTGACAATGGACCCTTCCTGTCTGTCAATCATTGACCTATTAGACAATGACTTTTGGTCAGTTGTATGGCCGTGGTACTGCTGTCAAACTTGGTCACTAGCACTGTTTTAACATACCAAGGGTGCATGGGCTTTATTCACGAGTCAGCCATATTAAATTGAAAGCGAGGTAAAATCTTCATTTTTGGAACTTGTGAAGAGAAATGAAAACAATGACATAACGTAAATTACAAATTAATACCAGTCTGCTCTGACAAATAATTTAAACTTTGTGATTAAACATACCCGAATGTTTAAAGCCACATTTCAAAAAAATCGAAAGTTAGGCTGGAATGCACAAATAGTCTGGCACCATCCCGTTCAACAGTTTACAATTTACAAAATATATTCAGGGAACACGACCAGAATGGCTTCCTCATGAATAAGGTCTGTGGGTGGGGCTTACATGTATGGCCAAATCCAGAATGCAGGCTTTCATTTAGTCCCAGGTGAAAAAGTAGGAGAACACTGGGATAAAAAAACAACAACCAAAAAACAAAAAACAGGACAAAAGTAGGACTTTGGAGAACCAAATCAAGATTAAAGTAGGATTTTTGCAGGCTTTCAGGAGTAGTTTTTGTTGATACTCAACCGTGTCCACAGCATCATAAGCCTCATTTGGCATGTTCTGTACTCACAACACTTGTGCTCCATCCTCAACTAAGCTCTTGGAAGTACAGTTGCAGTACTCCTGCGCCCAAGCCCTTCATTGTGTGATTTACATATGACAGCGTGTACCACCGTTATGAAAAATATTCTGAGATTTCATTTTTTGGAGTTGTGGGACAAAAAAGTATGACAAATTTGGAATTACAAGAAAAAAGTAGGAAAAGCAGGAGCAAGGTAAAACATCTAGGGAAAAGTACGAAAACTAGGAATACTTGAAAGCCTGAGAATGGTCCATTCCATGACAATCTTTACTTCAAAATCTATGACACTGAAGGAGCAAGACTAGTTCTATTCGGCCAAAAAAAAAAAGGTTCCGGTTTCTGCGTCGCCGTAGAAGAAAAGAAGAAAAAAGTAAAAAAAAAAAAAAAAAAAAAAAAGCCGCGTCATCGCACCACTTTTGGGGCAAGCTCCATACCAGAAAACGGAGACTTTTTGGGGGCCTTATTGCAGTATTGAATTTATATAATAAAGAAATCATATTGTAATAAGCATTTTGTGAAACATTTAAACTTAAGATCAAAGCACTAAAAGAAATTTTTTGTTTCTGTTCCCTCCATTTCCGTTATCACCAACTTTAAAAAAATATCTCCTCTATCTCTTCTTCGGACTTCAGACTGACTCATTTTTTTCCCCCCAACAAACATCTGATTTCATTTCTGGTCAGCCCTCCTGGGAATTCCTGTCCAGAACATCCTGCTTGCCCCATCTTGGACTTGGAAATCTCCAAACAACGTTTAATTGGATTTCTGTCAAGGTCTTCGTCATTTATCATTCCTGACAACTTCAGGATTAGCTGTCCTTAGTTTTCCTCACCCTATATAAATGCGTATCAAAACAATTCAAATTGGATTAAAACTCGCCACAGAACCACGAGGGCTAATCAATTTTTTCCAGTTCTATATGCCGTGTTTCCTGTCATTAACTTTAAATTGGTTACAAATACGACGAGGACAGTTGTCAGATCTGCGTGCCATTACACGAGGTTGGATCAAAGAACTTTACACGGCAACTTTTTAAAGCGCTGAACATCGCCTACCATTTTACTTGTAACCCGGTTGTGTCTCATCAAATGTTTGTGGGTGCTCTTCAGCTGTTTGAAGTGCCCTGTTAACCACAGAACTGAAAATAATGGTGGGCCCATATCGTCGCTGTGCTCACGAAGTGACAAAAACCTCGAAAATCGATAATTGTTTGATTTTGAGTTTCACTAGCCTTTTTATTATAGTTGTCTCAAGCCTGAAATCCGTGTTTTTCATTTTTACGAAGTGTAAAAAAGTGTAAAATGATCTCACGAAGTGGCAAAAAGTCACCTTGTGAGCAGGGCCACAATAAACAAGACGTACAAAATCGATTACTCACGTTACATTTTCGTAACGTGAGTAATCACTTTTGTGTTCCTGTTTATCATACATAACACATTTTTCTGGATGTCATCTTTGGTGCTTAGGTAGGTCTAGGTCTACTCTATCTACCATGGGGATAACAGTTATTAAACCTTTTCAGTAAGGTAATTACAGCCCAAAGAAACTCAAAAGTACATCAAAAATGTGAGTAACCGTGGAATTGCCCATGTAAATGTACGTATGTAGGTTACATGGGTCATGTATATGAAGGTTGACACAGAAACTGAGACAAGTTCGGCCTTTTGCCACAAATTACAGATAGTGGAGGCTGATTTGAACATCTTTTAAATTAAAGGTTATGTACATCATTCAAAATTGCCGCAATCTTATTAGCTAATAGCTAATGAAAGGGTATGATGGTACAGGCATGCAAGACTGCATGCTGGAATAAAGCACAAATGATTCAGAATTTGGATCGGAATGATATGACTCAACTTCTACAAGGAATCAAGTCTCTTAGCCAATTCCCATCTCCCCGAGATTAAGTCTCCTTTCGCAAGTTGAATTTGGGAAATCAATCATTTTTACAGACAATCTCTCACACCATTGGCAACTGTACTACATTGCATTTAGTAAGCAATGAACCCACAAAACTACGGGGTTCTCAGGCACTTCGGGGCACTACAAGACCGACAGGCAGGGTGGTTAGGGGCAGTACAGTGACTAAGGATTCATGACCAACTAGAAATACGCCAGTTCGGTATCGCGATGAAGTAGTCCAGGCCAAAGGTCATTCGGAATAAAATCGCTGACATGGTGATACGCGATATTACGCGAACGACCATTCTGCTAGTAATTAACACGCGAGCGTCGTGCGCCTCCGATGAGCGTTCGATTATCCCGAATGACCAGTGACCCATATCATTGTGCGCAAATACCGAACTGTCTTATTCTCAAGAATTCTTTGATGGAGGTTCTATCCGTTGCTTTTTGCTGGGAATTTTTTTGTAGTCAATTGTAGAACAAAATCCTGACTCTTGAACCGAATCAGAATTCCCAAAATCACACATAACCTAATGAAAGAATTGGATGACAAACAGTGACATACCCAGCAGCAGTGATGAATCGGGCTCCACCGCGGCCTCTAGGCAGGAAGACTATCTTAGTGATCGTGGTGTCGTGGGGTTGCACGCCCGCCACCGCTCGGCCTGACAGCTTGTCCCAGAAGAAGAGCTTACCGCTCAGGGTTCCACCCACAATCAGCTCTCCCTGAACCTATTTGAATAGAAATTATGATAACCACATAATGTTTGGTACCATACCTTACCGTAACTCCACCTCCTCAAACTTTTTAATTATACTATGCTCAAGCTAGAGAATCCTTTTCAGCAACTTCCAACATTAAAAATGATTCTAGAATGGTACTTAAATTCTTAGGACTACGGACACTAAATGTCTCCCTAATGACCAATGTCTTCCTAATGTCAAATAATAACAAGGCCGTGTCTAAAGCAACTGGCTGCGGCTGGGAGTAACACACATGTCTATGGGAATAGCCACAAGCCAGTGGCTACAATAGGTGCACGTGTTATTTCTAGCCGTAGCCACAACTTTCGGACACGGCCTGAGTTACTAGAAAGTGTCTCCCTAAGGTACCATTTGTTAATATACATTCTAGAATGGTCAAAAAGTACACAACAAGTGGGTAATTTTGATAGTATAGATAATTTAGACACATTTGCAATGTCTAACCTATTTTGGAGAACAGACTGTTAATAATCTGACAAAGTGACCCCTGAAATACAGCCTTTAGAGTGAAAGGAGCAGAAACATTTTCCAGTATGTTTAAAAATGTGTAAGACATTTAACAAGTCACTGCAAGAATCATTATTTATAATGGAATAAACTTCTGCAATCAATATTTCAGGTTACTGAAGTACATGTAAGTAACCTTTTTGTGTTTGATCAATGTCATGGTTTGGAAGAATTGAACAAAATAAAACAGTACAATAAATGTGACATATTTAACACCTCTACAATATCATACCCTTGCCTTCCTACCGGTACCTTTATCTTTTTGAAAAAAAAGAAAAGAAAGAATACCTACACAATAAATTTACCAAATGTTATTCAATTCCCAGAATATTGAATGCAGGAGAAAACAAGTCAGGTGTGTTTACAAACACAAATGCCCCGCAACCGTGACTGTTCCCATGACATAACACCACTCTTTTAACATCAACTTACATGTACCTTGGTCACATGGAACATTCATTGACAGCATTAGTGTCTTCTGTAGGTTTTATATGAATTAATCCCTAATCCCTATAATCTCAGAATAAATACAAGATTTCTATTGTTTTAGCCACTGTGAACTTGACCCTTGACCTTTTTGCCCCAAATTCAATAGGCTTCTTAGGATTACCAAGAACAATCCACAAACCAAATTTGAAGTTCATATGTTAAGTATTTCTCAAGTTATCGCGCTGACAAGATTTCTATTGTTCTAGCCACTGTGAACTTGACACTTGACCTTTTGACCCCAAATGCAATAGGCTTCTTAGGATTGCCAAGAACAATCCACAAACCAAATTTGAAGTTCACATGTAAAGTATTTCTCAAGTTATTGCGCTGACAAGATTTCTATTGTTTTAGCCACTGTGAACTTGACCTTTGGCCTTTTGGCCCCAAATGCAAAAGGCTTCTTAGGATTGCCAAAAACAATCCACAAACCAAATTTGAAGTTCACATGTAAAGTATTTCTCAAGTTATCGCGCTGACAAGATTTCTATTGTTTTAGCCACTGTGAACTTGACCTTTGGCCTTTTGGCCCCAAATGCGAAAGGCTTCTTAGGATTGCCAAAAACAATCCACAAACCAAATTTGAAGTTCACATGTAAAGTATTTCTCAAGTTATCGCGCTGACAAGATTTCTATTGTTTTAGCCACTGTGAACTTGACCTTTGGCCTTTTGGCCCCAAATGCGAAAGGCTTCTTAGGATTACCAAGAACAATCCACAAACCAAATTTGAAGTTCATATGTTAAGTATTTCTCAAGTTATCGCGCTGACAAGATTTGTCCGGACACACACACCCACACACCCACCCACCCACACACACACCCACACACCCACCCACCCACGGAAGGACAAGGCGGAAACAGTATGCCCCTTCGGCTTCGCCGCGGGGCATAAAAAGGCTTTCGACTTACATCAAGAGAAGTGACGACGTCTAAGTAGTCTGATAGCTTGAGGATGCATTCGCCAGTTGAGATTCTTGTCATCCGAATAGTCCTGAAACGAGAAACAAAATATGATAATCATGACAAATAATCAAGCATGTGTAATGAAACTATAATCAACCAAACACTATAAATAAATGCCAACGCAAAAGGCAAAATTTTCCAGCCAAAAGCCAAACGCCACAAAAGCTGATTCACAAGAGTCATTTCAACAGTATAAGTATGATATTTCTTGCCAAAACCTCATATGTTTCAATACTCCGGGTGTGCACTGGAGCGTAAATTGTAGAACAATAGGCCATGCACAACAGCCAATTCAAGATCCACACATGGTCCACCTCCACAGACTTCACAGACTTTGTGTGCGTGTACAAAAGACATGAGGGATTAGCATGTTTAGATGTCACCTGGAGGTGAGTCCAGGCAATCTTGACGTTTTAACATGTCAGCTGTGCCTGTGTATAAAAACCGCCAGTGTGTGTAATCACATCCTCCGACGCGAACTGGTTAAAGATATTCAACTGATCAGAAAATGAGATGATACCAGTATATTCTCTCATGGTTATTAGTAGCCATGTCATATGAAGCATGTACATGTATATGTACATGTACACTCTTTGCCAATAGCAAACTTTTATTACATACGGCCTTTATCTGGCTGAAATTGCTATCAAACATGGCGCACATTAACTTTGGGCAAAGAGAAATCATTGTAAAATAATAACGCAAGTAAGAACCTGAGCAGCTCACTCTTGCTCTTCATAACTAAGATCTAGTGTTTATTCTTCACTACTTAATAAGGAGTTACTGAAACCACAAAATTGAACTGACCTTTGAAAAAAAAAATCTCAAGCTGGTTATAAAGTTTTGTCAAATGGGTTAACGTAATATGAACAATATGGAGGATTCTATATTTTGCCATTATAATATAATCCAGGGCCTGTTTGCAGACTTGGCTTGTTTTTATGTGATGTGTGACATATGGTTCTCATTAATGAGTGCATTTTACCTAAAGAAGGGGAAGAACGGAGGTAGCCCCCACACCTGCAAGCCAGACGAAACAGGGCTCTAAAAATATGGTCAACCTTTCTCAGAATTTTCTGGACATATCCTCTGCAATATTACACAATATCCAATGGGTGTTACAAATGACTGAAGAAATTTACCCCTTGGTTACCTCTGTAAATTGTCATGTTGCCAAGACGCGGGATATTCAAAAAGAGGTCAACAACATTTACAGGTGATGACACATTTGTGGGTGGCCAGATTTTCTCAGAATGTTGACACTAAAAGGTGTCGGTTTTATGAATACTGTACACGCACAATATTCATCAGTCAATTAATCAATTTTGGGCGAGGAACAGCGAGGAAGCCCCGTGCAATTCAACAACAGGAAATGATTTTTAAGAAAATTTATCAATGCCAGGTAATGAGGTGTTCTGGAAAATATCATTTAAATGGCGGCACATCTTAAACCACATAGATCAGTGAGCACAGATAGTGTCTGTAGCCACAAGCAGTTCACATAATGTATCTACCAAGGGCGGATCCAGAACACAATTTTTTGGGGGGGAGGGCCCAAAAAAATTTTGGTCCCCCAAAAGAGTGGGTCAAAAAAAAATACGGCGTGGGGTTCGGGGCCCGCTTAAGGGCCCTGAAAATTTTTTTGGATTCTAGATGATCTGTGGTGCGATCTGAGGCAATTTCTGACCACTTTAACCAATGTTTTTTTGAGGAAAAGATGGTGGTGTACTCATTGCCTGCCTTTATTGCGATGTCACATACAAAAAAAAAATATTGGTTTCGTTTGGGGGGGGGGGGGGGGCCATGGCCCCCTTTGGCCCCCCCCCCCTGGATCCGCCCTTGGTATGTACCGGTAAGTATGAAACCCAAGACAGTTGAATCTAGTGTAAACAGGCATAAGTAACAGACAAAGAGGAATTCAAGACTTTATACAGTGTTTTTTGATTTTTTTAATGGCATACATGTAAGTGTGAAGTGGAAAACGAGGAAATCAGCTGATCTGAGGAAAAGTCGCGTGCTTATGTAAAAGGCACAATTCTGAGATTATGAAACTTCCCAAATACAAATTCTGTTGACACCTAAAATAGAATCTGCATGTGTTGAGAATTATCAAGGTTTTGGAACAGCGCCAAGTCTGATGTGCTTGTCATTTCTAAGAAACATGTGCCAACGCTTCTTACATACATGTACATGTAGTATGAAATAATCTGCTGAAAAACAGAATACTCTCATATTGTTATTTACTATTTTCTATTAACTTCAAAAGAGGATTGTGGTAGACTTTGCTGTATGTTTTCATTTCGCAACACCAGAGAACATTTTCTCATAATGAATCCTTTTTTTCAACTGATCAGTTTTGGGGCATATTAGGTAAGTTTTTGGCAATGGCAAAGCAAGTCAAGAGAAATCCACCAACACCACAAACGGTAAACCAATGATGATAAATTCATTGGCATTAACTAAGGTTAACTAAGGGGTGGAGGTACCATGCGGGTGGGATTCTAGTGAATTTCTGCTGTTTTTCATTTTATCATGTGCACCTGAAAAATCTATTTGAAGATTATGAGCCTCAAGGCCAGTGCCTTTTTCCCTCCGCCCTCTCAGCAAATTAGTAAAAAGCAAAAATGAGGTTTTTATTGTTAAAGAGTAATTGTGACCCCTTCAAGAAAACAAGCCCCCTCCCCTGCAAATTTGATCCCTGGATAAATTTTGTGTATGTGGCTAGGTTTTAAGTGTCTGAGAGCAGTCAACTATTAGGAGTTTGATATGGCAACAGCGAGTGTTCAGCAAGCCTTGGATCATCCCGTCAAGCCCACCATCATCCCTTAAACAAATCTGGGCTTGAGCCAGGACTTTTGGCCTTATCTTAACCCAGCCACAAACAAGACCACAATCTCAGCTACTGGATTTTTTTTTTTGGCTCGACCACATCTGTCACTGATGGAGGGATATACCCAAACTACAAGGTGGGCCCGCCACCGGGATTAAGATGGATTGAGACACTCCATCACACATTTCTTGCATTGCAGGGCCGGGACAGTTTATTATACAACGCTAACGGGGCATTTCAATCTGATGGGTCTTTCTCCGTTTTTTGAACCACTCCTGAGATGAGATTAGCGGTATGTCATACAAATTGGGCTCGTTAAATCTGGACTTGGCCATTTTTTCCCACACACTCGGATACCACCTAGTGTACTTATCCTGAAATAATAGTGCCTTCTGCTTTCTTTTAAGTATTACAACTCAACAAAGGTACATATGTTTTCCAGCCATATCTTTGAGTGTGGTCCATATAACAGACATGCAACTGGGAATTTAGAAAAAAAAAACGAGGAATTTCCAAACCACACAAGACTTTGTACAGTGTTTTTCAATTTGCAATGGCATTCATGAGAAGTAAAAAGCGAGGAAATCAGCAGATCCAACTCCAAAGAAAAGTTGCATGCCTGATATAAAGGTGTTGAAACAGACCAATTTTTCAATTTTCAATTTGCTAGACATGCATAGAAATGCCAGCACCACCGATGCCAAATTGCAACATGCCATGCAAGCCCGCAGGAACAGGGCATGTTGTGGGTGCTGCAGCACCCCCAAGTTTTTGGATGGGGGCGCTGGAATTATTATACGGAACCTTTACTTTTAGTAAACATGAATACACATTCCAGCACCCAGCACCCTGTGGCAAAAATGTGTTCCAGTGGGCTTGATGCATTGCCATGCATTGTATGAAAGGGGTCTATCCGATGTTCCCCAATACCTATGTTCGCTAAAATCCTTAGGGTTAGGGTTAGGGTTGGGAAACATTGGTATTGGGGAACATAGGTATGCACCCGTATGATGAGGGCATTAGATTCTGTTTCCTATGTTTCTTTGTTTTCCCTCAATGTTCATGTACATTGTGATTTTAAAAAAATGTGAAATTGGGTTCTACATTGTGGTGGGTTTGAACAAATCTGCTTTGTATAGCTCCATGTTCCAGTGGACAGTAATGGTAAATACATGTACATATTATTCGAGTGGTTTTTAATAAGGGAATAAATGTGTGCTTGTCCGGTTTTAAACAAGTCCATTAAAGGCTGGCCACGTGATGGGCTCTTGACCAATAGGAATGGGTAAACTGTCTCAGGGATATTTATAAATACCTGTTTTAACTGAGCACTCAAGACAACATGGCAAGTTTAATTCTTGGTCAAATACCATGGTTATGATCTGAAGTTGAATTAGGGAATGGGGTGGCAGACTTGTTGCTTGACAGACACCAATTAGATACATTGTATACATTGTATTACAATGTATTAAATGCCATTGGCCATTGTATACAATGTGTTACATGCCAATGGCCTGAGTATCTGTACCTACCTGGCGGGGTCAGGGACTTGTTGATGAGTTGGTGGCAATCACATCAATGCCACAGCCAAATTAGCCTCATACTTTGTCACTACCACAGCGCACAGGGCCAGCTGAAATTCACACCTGGTATGGAGGTAACCTAGCCCAAACCGCACTTTGATTTACAACCCACATAAATCAACCATACCCACCGATCCTTCTCTGTCTTAAGAGGTTTTGCTCCCCCAAAGTACTGCCTAGTGTCAGGGATTTAAGTTGACACACAACCAGGTTTTTTCCCCGTTACTAGATGAGTATTTTCTGGTAAATACTTTGTTATTCTGGAGGGCTGGAGGGTTTTGGGGGAAGGTCACCCCAGGTGATTAGCCTCCAGGAGCAGTCCGAGATGTTTTCACCATTTTTAACCCAGGATTTCTAGGCCACAGCCGGTCAGCATCAAAGCCAAATCCCAGACTGGCCAGGAATGCATATAATGTTACTGAAAGATAAATTGCGCTAATAGCCACCAATATGTTTTTGTCCTTGGGCTTCTTGGGGAAGCGGCTGGGGTTGAGAGAGAATTTACCTCAGTCAGGCTATCTGCACAGCATCAATCAGTGACATGATCTAAGCCAATTGACCCAGTATCAGCTCAAGAGGAGGACTTCCTCACAGTCATTAGCAGTAACCTGACCCTATTATTACTTCCTATCTCACAAGACAATCTGCTGACCATGGAAAGGACAGATGAATGTCCACAAAGAGTCTACCTGACAAAAAGTACTGTGTGGAATGTACATAAGACAGGAACCTTCATACAATAGGCAACACCAGACAGTGATGATAATAGCCAAATGGTAGGACAGCTCAGGATAGTTTCATGAGAATGATCCTACAGAAAGACAGAGATCTGTTTTCCCTACAGCAGGATGTTAGATCTCAAGCTTTGTCTTGATTTTCTGAGGGTTCAATGCTTTCTTTCACAGTTTCGCCAACAGTACAATGTAAAACATTTTCTTGAAGTTTGTCAAAAGTTGTAATTATATCCTGAGAAACGAATTCCTTTGGCACTTTGAATAAGAATTTGTCAATTTTTTTTGGTCATTAAATTAACCACAAAAAGTTTGGAAGAGACAGCTTTCATATGAATCTCTAATTATGACAAAAAACCCAAAACAAATCAAACATACAGATTTGAACAATCCACAAAGCCAACAGTTTCTTACTCTTAAGCAGATCAAACTCCATTTTGCAAAAATCCTTGATATCCCTGGAAAATCGGAACGTATAAAAGCTGGGATTCAAGTGTCACAGATCTGGCTCTGAGCCAGTTTTCACTTTCTGACCAACAGAGGGCAGCATTCATGTTTTCTGGACCAACAACATACATGTGCAAGTTTCAATAGGTGATGACTAGGTTCAATTCAAAATTTGCTTTTATCATACTGTGTCACTTTCAACCAACCAACGTTATTTTATTTCAAATCAAATCAAAAGCTTTTCAACTGAACTGCAACAAAGCCATTACTTTGTCATACATGTTCATCCTATACGTTACTGGTGACTTTACAACTTTGGATTGCATAGGTTGCGTTCAAATGACGTCATTTCCTACAGACCATCCACGTGCATCGGCATTTTGAGCCTCAACTTGCATAACGCGCATCGGCTGCGTCGTATTTCAAACACATTTCGAGCAACAAGCGCGCCTGTTTGGAACATTTTCAACACTGCGCAATGCGTGCTTGATTACGTAACATACGCAAAATGTGTCAAAATCGATACTGATTGTTTTGTATTTTTGAGTAGCCAAGGTATCCAAGATTCACATTATGCGTTTTTGTTGGGAAAAAAATACCCACAAAAGTGCAAAAACGGAAGAACGTTTTTCACTGCCGTTGGTGGCTGCGTGTCTTTTTTTTTCAAAGCCGTTTTTCTCGAAATGAGGTTGGCTTAACTTGGCAGGACACTGTTGAAGTTCCTGCGTCATGTCTGTGGAATAAATTAAGCTACAGAAATACATTTGGTATCATTGGAAAGCCAATGATTTGCGCTTTAATATGATCTACATAACATGAAAAGTCAAAGGTGGGGGTTATTCCTCATTATGCTATGGCAGGTCACATATTTATTCCCTCAGTATAACATGATAATATGGTGACTTCTGATTCTACTCGGAAAGTGGATCAATCACCCTGTGGATGCAAAAAGTTTTGGTTGAAAGAGGTGGGTACAAACCCCAATGTTGAAATAGGGCCATTATAGTCTCTTGACACAGGCTGGACTTTTCAATATTTGTAGGAGATGACACCAACTATCCCAGTTAAAAATGCCCATTGTGTGGTTAACATCCATGGCTCAATCTGCCAGCAGCCAGCCCTATCATGACTCAGCACACAGATCACCCACAGGGTTACACTAAACACCTGGCTGACTGAGACACTCACTGACATACATACACCATTACCCCACTGTCACCCTTAACTGGTTTAATAAGTCACATTTCCAGGTTGGGTTGGGGAAGCGGGTGGACAAAAATGGTAAAATTATCACCAGTCAACCTCTGGTGTTCCCCGCCCACTACATAAAAATGAACACAGCTTTCAATTCAGGCTCAGATTTTGGATCAATTTGTAAGAGAAGACACGAAAGTGTGATTCCAGAAACAGTGCACGCCGGAATTTAATGAATGTATTATAAAAAGAACATTCTGGTAACAATAGAAGACACTAGCGATTGAGACAACAGAAGGTGTATAATTAGCATCATCTGGAGTCTGAAATTCATCCAAAAATGTGCAATTAGCGAGGAAGTATGTGAGACACAATGGAATGTATAACTTAATCTCTACTTGAGGAGGGGCAGGGTTGGGGTTCAGGTATGATGTAAAAAAAAATCTCATAAAATTCATGACAGAATTACCTGTCAGCTGATCCGCTGGTGACACACCGGCCGTCAAAGACAAGACACGTCACGCTATCCTTATGATGTCTCAAGACCCTCAGACACTGGTAGTCCTCCATCAACCACACCCGTATTGTGTTGTCATGTGATCCGGTCACCCTAGAATGACAGAAACAGGTAGGGGGTGAGTCTCGGACTAGGTACGGGCGGGTCGCATCAAAGGCTCAGGTGACATAAGGGTGTTTACTTAGCATTCTGGAAGTATGAGATTGGGTCCTGAGGGGTCTGGGTACTGTTACATTCCTCTAATGTTGTCATGTCTTAATTGGGCAGACGGAAGCATTCCACGGTTTCATTGGTGTCTAGGCACACCTGGGTGAGTCAGCCCTTGGAGAACATAATACGGCAAAATACAGAGTGACTTGCCATGATGGAATTCTGTGTCAAAGAGGGTTTTGCCCTCTTCAGTAATGTTATAAGCACTGTATACTCTATGTAAGTGTTGTTTAAGAGCTTGTGGGAGGCAAACATTCACAATCTTGAACCTGAGACTAGAGCAGAGATGTGTACAGTGTTGTAACAATCAAATGTAACAATTAGTTAAAGGGAATATGCAACATTTGCTTTTGCTGTAATTTTCAGAAATGGATGGATTTGGGGAGTTCGTATTTTATAGCAAATATTGTTACACTGACTTATTTGAAGTTTTGTGTTCGTAGATGCTGGACAAACCAAGAAAAACAATCATGTTCTTGTGGTCTGTTTCCCTGCCAAAATACCTCATTTTTGCTGACATGAAACGGAGCAATTTATAGACCTCAAGGAATTGTAAGGTCAGGGAACCAGTCTAGTTGGCGTGTCCCCGTTCATAGGTGTGTAATCGATTGCAAACAAAATGTGGACTTACTAAATATGATAAATGGGGAGCAGTATTTGAAGAAAAAAAACCCCACTTTTTCCAACGCTGGTCAGCCGACCAGCTTTGGAAATTATAAAAAAAATACCACTTTTCTTGACAATGTCAGCACACCAGGTGCCATGATTTTACAGGATGCTTTAGACCATCATTCACTAACAGTCCAGTAAGGTATTTCATGATAATTTGGTAGTTTTGTGTTTTGATATTTGCAAATGTTGTATATTCCCTTTAACGTGTGATCTAAAGAAATGACTGTTCAAATACGTACACTTACTGACCATGCTTTTCAACAAACTGAATTATATATTGTTGGGCCACAACTTATTCGAAATTTTGAAAGCAATTATTCCGTAACTAAACATGGGCCATTTCTTTTTGTTCGATGTCTCATTCAAAAGTGAATGACTTTGCATTTCTAGGAAAATAGCAATTAAATAAAAACAAATATATTTCTCGGGATTAAACTTGAAATACAGTAACAGCAGATGCTACATTATTATCAGTATAATGCTTCACTGTATTTGCATATTTGTTGTGCATGAATGACGAGAATTACACATGCACAGTGTCCATAAAAAAGAACAGCATGCCATACAGAAACAGAAGATATTTTCACAAAACAGACTCTCACAAAAAGGTCACAAATATATAAAGAAAACAGGGGATACCTCAATATCATTAAAGTTGGTGTATACATGCTTTTTGGGTGTGGCACCTTGAAAAATATATTTTCAAAATTGAAGTGATAATTTTCTAGTATTACATTAGTTATGAGCTTTTCAATGACGCATCGCATGAAAAAGAAAATCGGCCCATGACAACTAATCAATTAATTAATTTCAACTTTTGAATTAAGAGCGGGACGCTCCTAATTCGTTCTGAATAGTTTCCGCAATTTCTGAACTGGAGCGCGCCAATTAAAACCAATTTTCTTAAACTGTACAAAGGCCTGCAAAAACAAACAAGCAAATTTATTTGTTACAGGACATTACATTCCTTTAAATTTCATTCGGAAAAGAAAATCAAACTTTGAAATAGCACGTATATACCAACTTTAAACTTACAAGTGTGTCTTGTCAAACTGCAGACACGACACCACATCTACGTGTCCAGTAAGGGTGGCTAGATGGTTGAACTTGATGATATCCCACACCATGATGGTCATATCCCAGGAACCCGACAAAATACGGGTGTCATCAAACTGAAGGCAACGGATACCTCCCTGCAAAGGGCAAAAGTCAAGGGCAGAAAGGGCAACATGCATTAATGTTAAAACAGTATTGTGAGTAATTTGATCACATCAAGTGGGACCTTCAAGTGGGATTTTCAAGTGGGACAGTCGAGCTGTCTTCTCATCTCATTCAGCTGAAACAATCAGCATTTAGGTGGACTGCTCTTCCACATTAAAGCTGTCAGTGCTTTGAAGATTTGGCATTTCTCCAATTGAATCTGAATTAGAATCGCTAATTTTCTAGTATTTCTAAAATAGTTTCCCATGGGCATAGCTGCCAACTTTTCAAAATCTCAAGGAGCAATCCACCGTGCGTAACATACTAAACACACTGGGCATGTACCAACTATGCCAATATCACGTATGGTGTACATGTACATGTGCATAACCTTCTTTTCGTGATTATCTGTAGGATATTTCCATATCCTACATCATATATAATGCATGATGAAACCATGATTTGAAAGACCAAATAGAGTAGAGTGTACTCAATGCTTTTTAAAATTCAAAATTACTAGTTTTTCAAGAAAAAAAAAATGTCAGTAGGAATAAATGGAATGTATGTTTTTAGGGTTTAAAACTGAGTGGATGTCCCAACTTGGCAACTATTGGATTTGAAAGATCTGGTTCATGACAGAGTAAACAATGGTCCATCATCAGGGGTGAGATTCGGAAAAGAATGAGCATGAAATAATCTGCCGAGTGTTTGAGGGCTGCAGAGAAACGTAGGGTCTGTGGTATATGTTTGTATAAATTTGCCTAAAGGTTCCCCTAAAGCTCCTGTCACACTGTCACGATGTAGCCTCTGGATCAAGATAAGACAGTGCTGAGACGCAAGACTCAACGACATCGTGAAGCTCGGAACGACATCTGAACTTTATCGGAGCGACTTCTTGAGCGCCATTTTGGCATCCTACAGGTCGTGCATGGTCGGCAGTGGAGCCACGATTAGTTTCAACAGTTGAAACATATCATGATGGTTGGCAAAAAATCCAAAACGGATCAGAGTCTGTTCTCTGTCTGTACTCAAACGGTTGTGTCGTATTAAAGTCGTAACAAAGTCGTAACAAAGTTGCAATAGTATTTGCGGGATCGGCAGTGGTCGTACATGGTCGGCGAAATTTTTTAAGCCGACTTTGAAACGATCATTACGACGTGAAATTCCGAAAGATGATGTCACTCCGTCGTTTTGGAGTCATTTCAACCCTGCAATCTTAGAAACTGGGTGGAGGGATCACCAAGAAAAACTCTATTTATTTCTATATTTGCTTTTGAAATTTGTTAAATTAATAAATAACACATCCCTGATAATGCAAAATTATAATAGCCTTTTTGCAGCTTAACTGTATATATCCTACCTTAGAAAATAAATAGATAAAAGATTTGATGTACATGTTTGTATGTATTTTTGAGCTACCTTATGGCCGTAGATCTTCCGTATACTTCTTCCACTGCGAATGTCCCAGACACGAATGGTTCTATCCATGGATCCGGTGAGGATGCGACATTTGTCAAACATCAGACAGAACACAGCATCTGTATGGCCCTGTGGATGGAATATCACGCACTGCGGTCAGCAAGGGTTTATCCAACGAGATGAAAAGTAGGGTGGGGAGGGGGAACATCTTGCACCCTCGGCCATATTTGGCTGATTTTTTTTTTCAGGACATGATAGAATCAGCACCTCCTTGGAAAATCAACTTTCCATAACTCATTGTAAATAATCAATTCAATGACTTTCCATGACTCTCCATGATAGCTTTAAATTCCAGGATTTCAAAATGTGCCAATACCGTATAGTGTTGAATTATGAAGGATTAACCCAAACTCTCTGGGCATTTTTGCTAGGATGTAACCTCAATCCTGCAAAATCCTCTGTTATTTCTTGAATGTGGTCCTTGGAGGGGTGACCACTGCCTCAATCCTGCAAAATCCTCCAACAAATCACTGTCAGTATGTTGAGGCAGAGCCAGTGACATCCTGGAGCAGAGCGGAGGATTTCAAGTATAATGTAGGCCTAAATTTGTGATGCGATCAAGCTAAATGAGTCGTTTGTCGAGAATTTTTATTTGGAGATAATTAAGGCAGGTTGTTGTAGTTTTCAGGGAGTCAGGGATATAATACTGACCTGTAGTCTACGCACTCTCTTGACGGGTTTGACCCAGCCTGGGTGCTTGAGAGATTTCATAGGCGGTCCTACATCTCCTTGCAAATCACTCTTTATTAAAAACAACATGGGGAGAGACACATCAGTTATTACTCATGTCAATGGGAAACTGTAGGATTCAACAAACATTCAGTGAAATCTTATAGAATTCAGGTATTGGAGAATTAGAGCAGATGCTTTTACAGAAAAGTATACAAAGCACTTTGGACTGAAAATGACACAAGATTGTTAATGATCTTTTAATACTATGCCAATCTCAAATTTGTATATGAGGAGATCTGCTTTGCAAAATTCTTCTTTACAAAGGCCAGTTCATACTTATACAGAGTGGTAAAAAAAAAATGCAACCTCATACTTCCACTATTCAGAGACCTACACTATTGATGTATATGGCTAGGAAATTCTGTTGGAAGGAAAATGATACCAAGAACTCCCGATTCGGTCAAGTAGGTTTGATGCCAGCGCCATTTTTGTGAACCAAAGTCAGGGGCTCTAATCGGGTATTATCGCACACAGTGAACAAAAGGATTGTTTTACCCCTGACTTTAGTTTACAAAAATGGCACTGGAATCAAAACTACTGAACCGATTTGGGAGTTCTTGGTATCATGTTCCTTCTAACAAAATTTCCTGGCCATACATACCAAAGGTTTAGGCCCCTGGATATTGGAATTATGAGGTTGCTTTTTTTTTTTTTCCACCCCTGTATATGTAATCAAAAGCAAATTGAGTTTTATGACAAGTGAAGTTTCATTGTTACGTTTCACTTTCAACAACTAAAGTTTCATTGTTTAATTTTAACAACCGAAGTTTCATTACGAGTTCTCTCTGTACCAAGACTCACATGAAGTATGTACCAGCCGGCAAATTATGGACTCTTACAAATAGACAAATACCAAACCCAGACTTTTCATACCAGAATGTCCTTTGCTTGCTGCAGCTCTGGTCTGATATCCAAGGCCAAGTCATCTTCTTTAGACTTGGCCGCTTTCTTCTTTTTCTTCTTTTTCCTCTCTTTCTTCTTCTTGGTTGTCTTGTCCGCCTCATCTGCTGCACCCTCTGCCTCCGCATCTTTGCTTTCTTCTATGGAGTCACCCTCAGCACGTGGTAACCCTTGGCCTAGTTGAGCCGGTTTGACCAGTGGGACAAACGAAGGCAATTCGGCTGTTTTGGTCAGTTCTGGGAAGAGACTAGCAAATGAGGAAATATAGTAAAGAAGAGTGACCATGTTGTAAATAGAAACGATTTTATGTTACGCAGCAGGATGATACATTTTACAGTCCTACCAAATGTAAGCCCAAGGTTGATTACGTTTACCCTTTCCCTTAAAAAGCTCAAACTTGCAGAGTTTTTATTTTAAGGAATTTGTTTGCAAAATCCTAATCTTCCCCAACCTGGCAAAATAGAAAAATGAAATACAGTGGATTCAGAAAATGAAACTTGGACGGAATATTCTCAAAATTGTTGTTGTTCATTATATGGAGACCATCAGCATTAGGTACTCAGGTTGGCACATCGGGGAGTCCTCACCTTCCACCTTGCCCGGGTTCGATTCCTGCCCTGGTCCCTGTGTGGATTGGGATTTCATTCCCTACTTGATTCTGTGGGTTTCCCCAGCATATTCTTCTGGGGTTTTCCTCTCACCTCTAAAACTGTTATTTCTTCTCACTGTCTCTTTACAGATTTCTTCAGGTTTTGTGAGCTACAGTGCATAGGGTGCTTTTGAGAAATCCCCGGTTTCATTACCAGAAATAAAAAATACTAAATAGTAAAAATAGCAATAACCTGTAATGCAACATAGAAAACCTCTGTGGGCACTTAAAGGGAATGTACAACATTTGCTTTTGCTGAAATTTTCAGACATAAATGGATTTGGAGGATTAGTATGTGATGGAAAATATTGTTAAACTGACTTGTTTCACGTTCGTGTAGCCTGGTTCCCTGACCCCACTTAAGATGAAACAAAGCAATTTATAGACTTTGGGGAATTTTAAGGTCAGGTAATCAGTCTAGCAGGCTTGTTCCCTTTTCACAGGTGTGTAATCAATTGCAAAGAAAATGTGGAATAAGTTAATGAAAAATTAGGAGAAGTTTTTGAAAAAAAGCCAGTTTTCTCCAACACTTGTCGGCCGACCAGCATTGGAAAAATACAATTTTTCTTGACAATGTTAGCACACCAGGAGCCACGATTTTACAGGATGCTTCAGACTGTCATTCCCTAACAATCCATTAAGGTGCTTCGTGATAATTTGATCATTTTGTTTTTTGATGTTTGCAAATGTTGTATCTTCCCTTTAAATGTTCAAGCACTGAAAGCCACCTTTGATCAAGCTAACCTTTCTGCTACAGTTTTAAAAATCATTCCACTAATTGTTAAAAAAGTCCATGCAATGTAACTTTTTTAATGCAATCCTTGAAAATGCACCTTTGTGTCCCATTTAACCTTATTTTCAATTATCATTTTGTCATTTTTAAGGGTATTTTGGCGCCATTTTGGTTTTAATGCTGATACCAATGTCCATATCTATGAGCAAAAGTGTGATGCCATTTCAGGCAGAGACCTCAATGTTACAGCTATTTCAGCATCAAAACTTGCCGGAATTTTGGATGTTTTGCTGTCGTAAATTTTTTTTTTCTGTGGCGACTGGTTGTTGTGTCAGTATATGGCAGTAAGCAAATGAGCAACTTTTCTCACAAATTTTCCAGTTCACAATTTGAACCCAAAAAACCCCAAACTGAACAGTGTCTTCCTGAAATGACACCACAGCAACAGCGCCCTCAGTTGTCCGGAAAAGCATGGATTGTTTTTAAAAAATGTTTAAAAACGTGCACTTTTCAATAAAAAAAATTAACCAAAAAGGATGTCTAATAGTTTTCACACATTTTTAAGAGGAACAGAAAGTTGCACAAAATGTGTTCCTAAGAAAAATTCATCTGATGGACCCTTTAAGCGGTGAACTTTTCTTACTAGAAATCGTGTGCTATTCCCTGGATTGCAAACTCAGACATTGTTAACTCGTCGATATCATCCTCCTCACTCTCTTCAGCTTCCACTGCCACCTGCATGCACTGGATCGGCACATCAACTGTACAATAATAACAATAATAATAATTATTACCCTGGACTGGACATTTGGGAGACATCCCCGTAGACTTGTGCACATAATATTTTAAACTTAAATGTGCCCTAACCCAATATGCCCTTGTCTTTTTTCCACGAATTTCGGTATGTTTACTACTTAGACCACAAGCAACAAATATAACCTAATTGCGACAATAAAACTGTGCCTCTAAAGGGGGGCTGTGACATTAGGGAGACATAAAAATGTCTCCCTAATGACCGATGTCTCCCATCATGCGAAGAAATTACGATAACGTGTCTCCTTAGTGGTACCTTTACACCTATAATAATAAGAAGAAGAAGAATCACAATAATGTAGTGCTTTAATGGCTTTTTACCTAAGGTTTCAAACGGCTTTACAATTATTATTCCTGTTCATCAGGAATGAAACCATTTTTCTGCAGTAGCTCGAGACCATCGCAGTTTGGTCTCTAACTTCACAGGTACCATTTATACTCCGGGATGGAGAGAGTTAATCACAGTAAAGTGTCTTGCCCAAGAACAAAAGCACCAAGTTCCCCTTCAGGATTTGAACCCATGTACCACAGCATGCGAGTCAAGCACTGTAACCATTGGACCACAGCGCCCCACGCATGTATACACAGAATATAACATTTCTCAGTACCAATGCAAGCCTTTCAAGCAGACCTAGGTGGAGAAGTAGGAGAACAGCAGGATCAAAATAATAAAAAAATAAAAAAATACACCACCTTACAATTACGAACAGTTTCGTGGTCCAATGGTAGAATCTATATTAGCAACTGGTACTACATCAATATTATTCTAAACTTTTTGAAATGTTACTCACCTACTGTGCTGTGCTTTCTGTCAAAATCCTCTATGGAAGTGTCTTCCGATGAAAAACTCTCACTTTCAATTGGTGCTGTATATAAACAAGAACAAACCAAAGTGGAAAAGTAGGAATTTCTCTGGAAAATGATCTCTATTACGTGATTGGATATTACACTACACTTTTCTTTCCAGCAACTGCTGTTCCCAAAATGGGCCGATATTGTCACTTTGTGAAATATACTTAGATAAATACTAACTAAGCTTGACAGATTCCGGAGTCTGTGTTCGTTTCTTCATTCGTTCGTCAAGCCTGAAAGACAGCCATTTTTTGCTTCCCGTCTCGCCAACTTGAAGAGAAGAGAAACAATCAGAGAAATAAATATAACATATTATTAAACAGTTATCTAAAGATTTGTGAATATAAATAAATACCAATCACCAGTACATGTACGTGTGTACATTGTATCCTCCATACGAGTCAAACTCACAGGAAGCTTATTTTTTTCCGAAAAGGTCAAGAGGCTGAATTCCCTTCTATATGTGCTTTCGATTAGCTCACCCTAATTGAACAACTTAGGTGAGCCCCGTGCCGTTTGATTAGCTCGGACGTCGTTCTCAGGGCTCACCCGGGACAGCCACCATTGACCCTGCTCGTGAAGCGGAGTCAGTGGTGGAAATACGTTGAACGCATCCGCTGTTCGTTCCACGAAACTGACAAATATGGTTGCTGACATATGGATGAGCTCAACTGGACCCCAAAAATCAACTTTATTTGAAGTCTAAACAAAAGTTAAATTTGCGACTTTAGAGGCCATATTTCCAGCCCAACTTTGTTTCTTTTTGCGACTGACGGGAAAAAGGTAAATCTCAAAGGAAGATTCAGTATGAAACGGGCATTTTGTCAATGGCTACAGACGTCACGTGACGATCGTGATGGTTCACTTTTGAGCGTTCAATTAGCATGGCTCTAGTGGCTAATGAGCTTCTCGAAGGCACTCGATAACTGTGTAGAGAGGCAAGGGTAATTGTTACCAATAATGCCCCCACACTAAAATCTGGAAAAAAAATACTTAAAAACTTAACAATACACTTGATTTTTTGAAACCTTTTTTTCCCTAGATTTTAACCAGTTTGCACCGGAAGATGTGTAGACACGCAAAGGTCTTGCGGTATTCGGAACGGATGACGAATAAACACGCAGGGAGCGAGGACGGAAATATCTGTCAGCGATCCGCTCGCAACGAGCGAGGCTGCAAATATGAGTGTGCTGCCTGAGGGTGATGGCTTCAACCTGCCTGGCATTGAGGTCCAGTGGAAAGTAATCCTGCACCTCCTTCTGTTCTTGTCTAAATATTCCAGTCTTGAACTGGTTAAGAGAAAACTGGGCAGGTATCAATCCCTTTTGTTCAGACAGTGTTTGGACCACTTGAAGTGAACCAATCCTAATAGGTACATACCTTGTGTTGTCGGGATAGCTGGTCTCTTAGCATGCTGAGCAACCTGACACAGTTCAATGTACGCACTCCTCCAGTCCACACTGTAGCCTTGATTGAACTCCTCAATCATACCGGGCAGGTCCAACAAGCCTTCTTTATACCCTATCATTCAAAGAAAAAAAAAATCCCATCATCTAACCCATTACATTATTATCACAAATTTGTGTTGGTATTCACATTTGAACGAGAGTATGAATAATCCTTTTACATATTACACAAAGCCTTCTTCATTTTATGCTAGACTTTGCTTTGAAATGTCAACAATCAGGAAAGTGTGTATTGTGACAAGGGGTAGAACAACCAGAAAACAATCACCGGAGCACATGAACAACTGGAGTATGAAAAATGTTCTGTTACCACTTACTGCTCATGCTGTGCAATTCCAAATAACTTAGCTTTCAGTTATTCAAATTTGGATTCAATCGAACAGTTGAATATTTATTTATACATTGGTGACACCCCAATCAAGTTTTACATACATGTATATATGTAGTATCCACTGGACAAAATTGAATGTGCCTGTCATACAAGTATGTTACATGGTCTGCTATCGGGATTTGCGTATGCCAGTGGTAAACTGACAATGAGCTTATTAAAATAATAAGAACATCACTTGTGAAGCAACACACTTTTTTTAGGGACATCTTTGAAATGATCTTAAAGATGCAATGAGAGCTATTATCCTCACAGAAGCTCTGAAGTCAGGCGTGTAAAATAACTGTTGACCAAAATGTAGCATTTGACAACCACAAAACCACACAACTTTAAGATATTAAAGCAACAGCATGAAGTTTTTCTTCATGTCCTCAAGACCCCTCAGATTTGTAAAATATGTAAATTGAAACATAGTGATATTCAATGAATGATCAAATATTCAAACATTTGGTATTATACAAATACAGCATGCTTTGAGGGGAAGTAGTGGAAATTACTGGTCCCGAGGTGAAGGTCAGCTTGACTACCTCCCGACGCGAACCATGCTGAATTAGTTTACTACACCTCATATATAATTAGTAGCCTCACTGCCTTTTAGTAGCCTCACTGCGCGCATGCCTTGTCGATAAAGGCCTTCGTAGATTTTGCATCTTTATTCAGCACAAGATATTCAAGTTCTTCGTCAGTCAATGAAATAGTCTGGTGCCAACACTCTTGAATGTGTCTTTACTGCAGTAGTTACAAGGACTACAACAGATTGGTTCCATAAAGAGTACATGCCACAGACTACATGTCTACGAGGCGGGTTCCAGAGGGAATTTTTGGTGCTACCAGAAAAAATACCGCACAGCAGCGAGCTGGATACTCACCGGGATGACGTCACCTGGGCGCGTATCATTTTTAATTCCCAAATGCGCAGCGTAATCGGCCAATACATGACGTGCTCCAATTTGATCTTAAACATTTATGAGGTGTAGTCAACATATTGGACCCAGCCCAAGATACCACTCCTCACCTAACTCCTGGCATTTGATTCTCCACAAGGCATCCTGGGCACCGATGTAACGCCAGCGGCGGCAGACTCTCTCAGCCGACACGATGTCATGCGAAGGCAGGAAGGAGAAGATGTGTAGCAGCAGCTTGTCTGGCAGGCAGTTGATGTCATTGCGATCCTGTAACCTGACATAATCACAACACACAGTCAGATTGGAATCACGGTTCAACTGCGGGCAGATGAGGTGCATGGCAAGCAGCAGATTACGTACAAATCATCTGTCAAACCATAACACTGATTAGTGAGTTTTTTGCATGTTAGTTTCATTCATATCTTTGTTCTTCCCAAATGAGTGATGTGATTGTTATGTGGCTAGAAGTGAGGTTGATCTCCAAATGTTATTCCAATCAGAGGGTCTTATTTAATCAACTTGATTAGAATCCCTGAAGTACACACATGAGAAATTTAAGGAAACCAATTCTAATCATGTTGTAAACATTAGCTAAATTCCACAGCGCTGTCAAAAACGGTAACTGAAATCTACCTTACAAAGAACCAGTTCTTTTTAAACAATGCATGTAATTGATTAACTAACAGCCTGTTACAGCCACCATCACCACATGAAAATGCAGGTTGTAAATAAGCTGCATTTCCTAACAGCAGACAATTGCAAGGACACTCAACAAAACTTGATTTCATTATCACTAACTTATTCGCCTATCAATTCCCCCCTCCCCCTCCCCCGGGCTGCCCCAACCAAGACGTGGGGATTGTCACTTTTGAAGTGACAAAATCCCCATCCCTCGGGAAAAATTTAAGTGACAATCCCCAACATACATACATGGGGCGCACTAGTGATTGCTTTTCCATGTAGACGCCAATGGTAACAATGTAATTTGAGTGACCAAAATCCCCAAACATTTGATAAGGCACATTATAAAAAAGAACCATGGTCATGCGGAGAAGGGGAAGGGGAGAGAGCAAAACATTGAAGACGGTGGTTGTTTAAAGCTGAGCATCAGCAGACAAAAAGGCACAGTTTGAAGAACATATACACAATCACACAGGGATTCTTAAATCTTGAAAGACAATGCCATTGAAGGAACCTTTGCACAAGTAGCCCCTAAATGGCAACAGAGGCAGGATTCTTGACTGTATGGGCTTTGTGCGCCAACAAAAGAGGACGCCCTTTTACCTAGCAACGACGTCCCATGGGCGGGGCACATACATTTCGCTGGTTGACGCGCGCGCACCGTTCCTTGTGTGTGACGCACGTACACCAGGGGATTTCTACTATGTAAACGCAGTGGCCGCGCCTCGCGGCAAAATTTTGCAGTCAGGCAAGATAGCCTCGTTCGGTCACCCCCAACTGTACTTTCTTTGCCGGCGAGGCGGTACTTGTGAACAGAGCGGATAGCAACAGTACACCTGGTGCTCATACAAAGATGTTACATGTTTATGCACATTCAGAAACAAAATAACAATAATTAATCCATGCACAAGTACCCCCTCAACAGTTACAAATTGAGAGAATTGGGGGAGACCACTGGGAGTGTTCCTTGCTCTATGCTGGGAGGGGCATGACGCTCGATGCTCAAGCAAAGACACTATGTGTTGGTGCACATAAAATAAGAATAAAATAAGTCGTGCATACATGTACTTGGTGCAATATGCTCGCAAATCAGTATGCCCATGTGGTGAGCCCCTCCAACTGGGCTTTGGAAAGTGGTCACACAGTGCGTGCAATGCGTCACGCTTTCAAAAGTTGTCAAGAACCACCATCTTCTGTCCATGCATGGAATCAATACAGTAGCAAAACCCAATGAATATGTGTGCATTAACACATTTAAGAGATTTATACAGAGCAGTAATCACACCACTGCTGATGACAATGCATGTGCCAAAATGTTAAATGAAGATAATCTTGGTATGGGGATAAGAAATGGGGATAAGAAATAGACACATGTATTCATTTAAAACACTCACTCTCCAATATCCTTCGAATTGAATCCATATGTTTGCAGTGGAGGGTTTAATAGACCTCATGCAATGCAGGTATCTCAGAGGGTGTTCTTTGTTATTTTAATTGAGTGACAATAAATGCACAAAAGGTTTACTCATGCCTATCCACGCTATGCAAAACCTTTGCCCTCTAACTCCGCCTAAACGCATAAGGTCTACATGTATAAGGGTCCATGAAACTGCCTTAACCAGTTCACGCCGGGATTACTTTGACAAGAACGGAACGAGGTGTGGGACTTATTTTCACTCGACCTCATGCCAGGCGGGTTGAAGCCATCACCCTCGGGCAGCACACTCATATTTTCAGTTTCGCTCATTGCGAGCAGGTCGCTGACAGATATTTCCGGCCTAGCTCCCTGCGTGCTTATCTGTCATCCGTTCCGAATACCGCAAAACTTTTGCGTGTATACATTGAACACGGCCTCCGGCGCGAACTGGTTAAATGTGTTTCAAGAACACTGATTGAATACAAACCGTTGTTAGTAGTACCAAGTTAAGTAACCCATTCCATGCTCACAGCACACATTGCCACAACATTGCAGGTACATACCATTTGTACAATTGTCTCAGTCTGAGTAAGCATGCGAAATGGGGAAGAAATACATGAACATGTACATGGTGAATATGAGCAAACCAATCTCTATTATGACACACCTGCAGTTTAAAACAGGAAGCTAGTTTTACTATTGCATTTTAAAACAGGAAGCTAGTTTTACTATTGCATTTTAAAACAGGAAGCTAGTTTTACTATTGCATTTTAAAACAGGAAGCTAGTTTTACTACACTACTTGAAGCAGTCAATATTTGTATTTAGGACGCAGTTGAGTTATGTGGCATAACTTATCTGAGTATCAAAATCGTAACTGCAGAGTATTCACACGTTGCACATTAACATCTCTCAATGTCAGACACCATGCACGTTTTCGTGCATTTTTCATTTAGCAACAAAATTGTTTCAAATCTTGCATAGGGTGCGGAACAACTAAGCTGTTGAAGTTTCATATAAGTGAATACTATATTTTCTTTTTTAGAAAACAGAGAAAATCTAGATGCACAATTTTCCAGTTTTGTAATTGGATTCCGTTGCTAGTGTTTCTGATTCTAAAGTTGTGGTTTCATATTTTAAATTACACCCTCTCATGATAAAACCCCTGCACCAACACTCTCAGGATTCACATTCGGCTGGTTAGTGTATGTGAAGTCTATATGTAGGTCACACTAGATAGGTATTAAACATTTGCAGTATGTAATGAATATCCTTAATTTTTTATTTAAAAAGTGTGCCTGTTTTCTGCCTAAGGATGCCATTTCAGGAGGAATATTTTCACAAGGCATTAAGTACCAGTCCTTTCTTCACTTTGAGCAACTATTTCTCATTAAATAATTTGTTCAGTTCATCTACAAGTTTTTTTTTTTACCTCTGTTGGAGACATTGTGCCAAAAACTTCAAGAGATCTTGGTCACACATCTTGATCAGCTCAACTAGCAGGTCTCCCTTCTCAAAATCCTCCCATTCCTGCATCCACTGTAGACAGATTGGAGCAAAGAATGCACAAACATCAAATTCACAAACAATTTCAAAAGTCCATCACAAGTTCTGCAGTCTCCAAGTCAAGTCACAAGGTTTTCACCTGAACTGTGACAAAAGTATTCCTTTGTTAGTGTTCATCTCCTGTTACGTGTGACTGGACTCGTGAAAGGACTTCCATTTTGACCTGACTTGTGGTGGACTTGACTACAGCCCTAATATTACCGGGGTCCGCTCATAAGTCTGACGCCTCATAGGTCCGACGCCTCATAAGTCCGACAAAATCGCATCCCCCAACCAAATAAAGGCCCATAAGTCCGACGCCTCATAGGTCCGACGCCTCATAAGTCCGACAAAATCACATCCCCCAACCAAATAAAGGCCCATAAGTCCGACGCCTCATAGGTCCGACGCCTCATAAGTCCGACAAAATCGCATCCCCCAACCAAATAAAGGCCCATAAGTCCGACGCCTCATAGGTCCGACGCCTCATAGGTCCGACAAAATCGCATCCCTCAACCAAATAAAGGCCCATAAGTCCGACGCCTCATAGGTCCGACGCCTCATAAGTCCGACAAAATCGCATCCCCCAACCAAATAAAGGCCCATAGGTTCGACGCCTCATAGCTGTGGCGCCTCATTATTCCGACAAATTAAACACCTTGTTTTACTGACGTCGGACTTAGGCGTCGGACTTATGAGGCGTCGGACCTATGAGGCAGAATAAATAAATTTTATGCCTCATTAAGTCCGACGCCTCATAAGTCCGAAATTTCGGACTTATGAGGCGTCGGACCTATGAGGCGTCGGACTTATGATACGGCCCCGTATTACCGTGTCACAAGTGTACTTTAGGAAAAGAATGTTTAAATTTGACTCCTTACACAATACCCTTCAATTGTGAGAAAGAGTTGTTGAAAGAATTGACTGCATTCCCCATATATTGGCTCTAGTACATTGGCTCCTAAATTTTGTTAAATTATACCGAGCATTGGCAGGGAAAAAAGTGAACCAAACAGTTTTCTTGAGAATCTTTTATGGATCCGACTGTGTGCTTTTATGACATTCTACTTGCACAAATGTTCACTGTACAAATGTTCACTGTGGCCAACTTACACAAATTTATGATCTCCCTTTAGATTACAAAGGCCTATTCTAAAACATGTTCTCGTTTGTCACCACGGTTGGTAACAGTCATCATGTGTTATAACTAATAATGTGTGTATTTATAAAGCACACGTATCCACCAGTATTGGTGCTCAAGGCGCTACATCATTATTACCCTGCACACTGGGCCAACAAAACATTCCCAAAACAATCTCAGCTCCCTGGGGAGTATTCAACTCGATGCAGCTAAATTCAACCACAAGAACCATCTCTATCCTCACAGGTACCCATCTACTCTTGGCTGGAGAGAAGCAATGAGTGACAAAGTGCCTTGCCCAAGGGCACACGCAACATAACCCCAGGCTAGACTCGAACCCACAACCTGCAGAATTACCCACAGACCGCAAATCCAGTGCCCCAGACCACAAGGCCACGACACTCCACTTCCCTATTACAGATATCTGTCTCACAATCAAGCTCCAGATGCAAGATGTTTTGAGAGGGGGCACTAATTATGAGGCACCATGCAGTACCGTTGCCTTACACATTCACGAAAGGGCACAGTACAGCCTGTAAAAAAAAAAATGGTACAATCGAAAACGATTTTTTTTCAATATCAAATCTCAACATAAGTAAGTCGTTTTGAGCATCACATTAAAGAAAAAAGACCAGGCTTTCCAATACTTTTTGTTTAATCTCATTTGCTTTTGTCAATTCAGAGATAACTCCAGTTTACTGCGGAACACAAAATCGAGTTTGTTTCTTTTGCCAAGTTGCAATCTTTTGTGAGCTTCAAGACAGCATGGCACAGTACTCGAAACAACTCTGCCCATGCATAAAAGTGGCACAAAATCGATTTTGGTGTATCGCACTAAATGGATTATATCTCTGAATTGACAAAAGCAAATAAGATCAAACAAACACTATTGGAAAGCCCAGTCTTTGTTCTTTAATATTATGTCAAGTAAGAATGACTTATTTTGAAATGTCATATTTAACAAATTTTTTTTCTGATTGTACCATTTTTTTTGAGACAGGCTGTATAGACAACTCCCAACACGCTATCACTGTACATTCACGAAGGCTCCCTTAAAGGGAAAAGCATTGGGCCTGCTATTGTACAAACCAACTGCCCCATGACAGATTATCTGAACAATAGCTTGCAAAATGCTTTTACTATTGAAGGGGGCTTCCGTGAATGTACAGTGATACTCGCAGTGGTCCATAACATAGCCCCTTTGGCAATGACAACCATGTACATTTTCATGTAACCATGTAACTTACCACCCATATCTGCGATATTTGCTTCTTGAAGTGTTCTTTAAGATCCTTGTGGTGAGCGGGTACCAGCTGTCGGACAGTAGAGGGTTCCCTTCCCCACCATTTGGCATGCTTGAAGGTCTTCTGGAGTGGAACCGACACATCGGTCAGCTTGTCTGGTTTCTTTATCTGACCAGTGCGCAGTGCTCTGTACATCGTACCTAACAAATATGAAATAATGCCGAGATAGTTTGAAGACAAAAACTTCCTTTTTTTATAAAATGATTACATGCACCTTTCCTGAAGACGATCAGAGCACAATGATTGGAACGTCGGGTTTCACAACCAACAGGTTCTTTTCAGAACCAAACTTCTTCTAAATAGAGATTATTGCACATGGTAATACCGCAAACCTCACTAGTATACACTACCACCATGCAAAGTTTTAAATCTTATTTACATACACCATGTACGACAAGGCAAATTCTTGATCTTTATTTATCAGACTGGCACACAACAATGTAATAAACAATAAATCTTGTCATTCACATCAGTCAATAAAAAGGATCCACAAAGAGACAGAAATTTACTTTTTTGCATAGTATTTGTTATGCCATGAAAGCGGGCCCAATTTCACAGCGCTGCTAAGCACAAAAAATTGCTGAGCACAAAAAAAAGTCTGGCTTATAAAAGCAGGTTATCAGCCAAAACTCCATGTGATTTTCAGGCTAAGCAAACAACAGCTGAATACTAATCACGGGCAATATACATCACGTTGAGTTTTGGCCGGTAACCTGCTTTTATAAGCCCAACTTTTTTTGTGCTAAGCAAATATCTGTGCTCAGCAGCGCCGTGAAATTGGCCCATGGTCTTAATTTCTTAATGATAATTACCCAGTTTCTGTGATTGTCGCTTTGGTTCAAAGAATTCTCTGGTACTAGCAGTGCCTGAGCTGACATGGCTATTGTGATGGTGAGATGCCTGCCTGCTGGCTCGCGATGATGCTTGACTGGTAGGGGTCAAGTTCCTCCTTTGGTGTTTCATACACCATGTCAACGTAGAAACCTATCAATAACATCACAACTTACATAATGAAAGAATACACATATTTATATTCTATAAATAATAAGGCAGACTAGTCACTCAACTACTCTTCGATGAAATTGAAAACTAATTTTCTTCTTTGTTAAAAAACAAACTACAGTTGTACATTGTATGTAGAGATCTAAACAGTTTTGTAGTCAAGCTTATCACAAGTCAATCACAAGTCCGTCTCAAGAAGGGCTGTGCACCAGAACCCGACTGTTGATGTCAGGAATTGGTTCTAGATTATGGGATCAGGTACCCGTAACTAACTTCACAAATGACTTTAGTAACTTTCAAAATGAAAGCCAGGCTAAATGGAAAACAAAACATACATGTACTTCACATTTATGACTCTCACGAAAGATGCAGTGTTCACCATAAAGCTACATTGTAACTCACTGCACACACTTGTATCTTGCAGCTTTGATGCACCGATGTGGCAGTATTATCATGCGGACCTTTATGAAAAATCTGAACAGCAACTTCCCAGGTTTGAATTTTGGGTTTACACTTCTGTAACATGTACCAGGTACCCTTGTTGGTTTCAATCAGGTACCCAGTTCCAGTGCTATCCGTAAATGTACACCCCCAGTCTCAAGTCAAGAGACAAGCTATTCCAAGGAAAAGTAACAAAAGAATTCATTGTACTTGTTTATCACCTGTTACTGTTACGTGTGACTGGACTTGTGAAAGGACTTGCAATTTACTTGACTACATTGTTCCAATCGAGTACTTTGTAACCAATAACAAATTGGAAATGCTGTCTTATACCTGTACACGTATCAAGCTATCTAAAATAATGAACTGTGATAAAAGCATTCCTTGTCATGAGGCATCCTCTGTTACTCGTGACCTGTCTTGAGATTTTTAAAAGCTCTAACAGTGAATTACTATTCAACATGTTCAATTCATCAATTTCTTTCCTTTCTGTTTTCTTGGTATTAGGCCAAAAAAAAGAATAGTTCTGCTTCCGGTTACCCGACCGACCCTATTTTTAGGCTGCGACCCTAAAAAAATTATCGGCAATTAAAAAAAAAAAAAAAAAAAAGATTGAATAAATAAAAATAAAATTTTGTTGTCTTTTCTGTCTTCACAAAATACCTCTCAACAACCCTTTTGCATAAAATAATGCTTGTATTTATTTGTTTTCTTACTTACATTCGCTTTTTTTCAAAAGAAACCTCCGTTATTTTTACAAATTCGCTTCGCGATATAGCTACTCCGCAATGCGATGTCACGGCGACTATAATCACGTGGCGACGACTGGTTCCCGGCGCGCCGCGCAGGGGCCAATTTCGAAGACATGATGAAAATGCGGTAACCAGTCCATAGCTATGCGACCGATAGTACGCTAGCAGTGCAGGCCACTGTCAACTGGTCGGATTCGACATCGTAAAAATGCCAAGAAAACACCGATGGAGAAAGAACATTTTTGCAAGTTAATTTACAGAATTGATCTAGCTTGTCTGTGTATGTATTTTCTGTGTTCAAGAGTTCATTTTGAGATCGCACTACTCGTATTTGGAGTGATACATGCCGCGTGTTTCCCGAAATTGTTGACCTTAAAAACAGGTCTGTCGGCCCATGGTGGGCCGCTTGCCACACACGCACGCATCACACACCTCGGAGTTTTGGCCAGCTCCCCACGTCGTGACTAGCGTTGTGCATATGGTGCGAACGACCTGAATTTTCCATTATTTTCCGAAATAATCGAACGTAAATATATTTACAATAATTAAAGGTAGTTTTTATTCACTCTTTGTTGCCATTTCGTGTATAGCTTTCGTAGTGCAATGGAAATAGTTCAGGCTAAAAACTTCGCATATAATTGAATACCCCATTAAATCTGCATAAAAAAAAATGGCAAAAAAAAAAAAAAATTCCGACCGACCGACCCTATTTTTGAAAGGCATGTAATCGGAAGCAGAACTATTTTTTTTTGGCCTAATCGTTTGTCTTTCTTACTTTATTGGTCTGCAGTGGAGCATAGCTACCAGTTCCATATCCCGGTGTGAAATTTGTACCACTGTCTGTAGCTACGTGGCCAGCCAGATTATCTGAAAAGAGTGGCGTCTGCAGATTCTGACATCCAGGGAAAGTCCAGTGACGACCATGCTTGAGACGCTCTGGTGGAGCTTGTCGTTCCTGGACAGATCTGGTTGGACTTTTGGACAGGGAGCCATAGCTCTGCGATGGTGGGGCAGTCAAGGTGCGTGTGGCCCGTTTGGCTCTCATTGTCTGCTGATCGGAGTCAGTGGTTATGGTTGGTATCAGCTGACTGGTGCTCTCAGACGTCAAGAATTCTTCTTCTGAAAATTTCCTGAATTTGGGCACGTCTAAGGCAAGGTGGGGCGTGGTGGTGCTCTTGCGTTGTTCATCTGGCTTGGGGGATGCTTGTGTTTTACTTTGATCGTTGGTTGGTCTCATCTTGGTGACCTTGCCGTACATGATCTCAAGGGCTCCCTCTATCACCTCCCTTACATACTCCTGCGCAAACCCCTCCAAGTCGCTGTATCCACGAGACAGTCTTCCCGATCTCACTAAAAGGTAATCGTCTTCATACTCTGTCCCTTTGGTGGCCATCTGCAGTGCTTTCAGAAGCGCAACTTGAGGATCTTCCTCGCGTTGCCTCCTCAGTGGCGTGCCTGAAAACTTCTCCTTGTTGAGCGACGCTGAGAAGTCACGGTGGAAGACCGGCTCGAGGGCTGTGGCCAAGTACTCCAGCTGGCTGTTGGAGCATCGGTCCGTGGTTCCGCACAGCAGGATTCGTTTCTGCCATGGCATCCATGTTTCAAACCACTGGCATATTTTTCGGAAGATCTGCTTGTTGTTGAAGTGGCTACCGGTTTTGGCCAGCTGCTCATCGGTGACAGATGTGCTGCCAACTTTTGGAAGTGTCTTCACGCCCTCGAAGTTACCAAATCGTAAGCCCTTTCGTGCAAGTTGAAAGGTACCTTGTCTTCCATTAGTGACAGAGTAATCAAAGTCAGCCATGGTACATCACACTAGTCCTTTCCCCGAGCCTGCGAAAAAGCAGATTTCATACAAAACATATCAATTTAATTTATGTTGAGGAACATTGGGCTTGTGTGTTGCCCCATAAATGTGGCTCAAATGCTGGAATCGCAACCAGGACTGTTTAATAACTTGACATTCTCTATGGAAGATCCATACCTGGTTAATAACCAGGAAAAATTGCATTCTGTTTCTGTAGATGTCTAGTTATTCTGTAATTTTCAGGTGACAGTTTTAGTGAGTTCGTCCAAAAATGATAGCTATTATTTTTGTTGGGGTCAGACGTCATGTACATTTGTCCAAAGTATCCTCAATACTAGTGAATATCAAGAGAAAAAAAGTTGAGATTTTGATTTTCATCAAAACAACTTTTCTTCACACGTAGCCATCACCGCTGTGTGGCTCACAATATGGAGGAAGTCCAGTATTTCAGCCACATTTGGGGCTAGCTTGTGTGGAGCAGCAAAATGTTCGGCCCCAGTATTTCACTACAGTGCAGCTTTCATTCATCACCCGAGGCACGGACCCACTCGATGAATGAAAGCCGCGCTGTAGTTTGTCAAGAGAATAAAAGCACCCTCAGTCGACAGCCAACCGTGACAGACGGCCGATCAAAGACTCCTGTGCTGTGATTCCTGTGAGCAAAATTCTGGTAAATGTCACATTTTTGTTTGACATTTGAGGGATTTCAACCCACACTAGAAGTACCTATCCACATCTATCCACTGAGTGGAGTGTTGGAACTTCGGTACCCTCCGTACGAAGTTCCAGCGCTCCACTCAGTAGAGGCTGAGAGCTATATTCAGAATAGGCTATCGTTGCTGTCGTATCGATGACAGTCATATGTCATGAAAGTAAATTAACTTTAAAAAGTAAATTAACTTAAAAAGTTGACACTCGACAGAAATATTTTGATAATTTGCTTTAGCCTTTAGGCTTGTCCAGCGCAATCTGGAATCTTGCGCAAGTTTATTGTATTCCCTCCTGAGCTCATTTCCCTTTCAATGAAATCCATTCATACTCATAGGGATATGAACTCAGGCCAAGTACTAGGACGAGGGAGGACAATAATTTCAACTTGCGCAAGCGCAGCGTCCAGATTGCGCTAGGCTAGCTCGACAGGTCTATATATATTTGCAGTGGATATCGTTACGGCAGCCGTAACGCATTTCCCATTTTCTATCGTTACGGTAGTACTAGTAGGCCTACTGCAACTTTTATAAAAACATGAGATGAAAATATAAAATTAGAAGGAAAAAAAGTGAATTTGAACGTTATGAAATTCGGACTTTATTTCCCTTTAAAAAAAAATCCTCAAAAGACAAAAGCCTCATGTTAGAAAAGGAAAAAAATTTGAGTGCAAAACTGAGATGCGAACCCGCAACCTCACGGTGCAAAATCCTACCCTCTATCGACTGAGCTGTCGCACTGCTCGCTAAAACGCGGGGAAACAAATAATTATATACCTGCGTGCGAATCAAAAAAGTATCGTAGAGGGCGCTAAACAACGGCTGCCGTAACGATAGCCACTGGCACTTCGAAGTTCGATAGGCCTATATAAAATTAATATAGGCCTAGGATTATGATTATTTGTCAATAGTTAGGCCTAGTATATTTAGTAGGCCAAATCAGTAAATGCACTTTTTACGATTTCAAGATTTGCATTTTCTGTTCATATTATGAAATCGATTTGTCAACAAATGCAAAGAATATGTAGACTGTACTAGTACCCTAGGCTAGCCTATGCCACAGAAACTTACCCTAGCCGGTTCAGTGAGCTTTGCTATTGTGTACTGTGTACACAAACACCAAATTGTTTTGACCAAGTACCTTGACTTGTAAATGAGTCTTAGCGAACTAATATTACCCTAGACAACGGAACCAGTCTAAAAGACGGCGGTTTGACTATGGCATGCCTTTGTGACAAAAATTAGGAAGCATAAAATTATGGATACATCTTGACACTTTTTTGACGGTTTCACATTTTGTTTAATTTCTACACAAAGAAAGGCCTAATTGAACTGATGAAATGAAGTAGGGTGACTATTATGCAACCACGGTCAATTTGTCCTTCGGTTGCGTAAATATTTACTTATTCACTCATATCTATAGCTCATGCTGTGTGAGAAGGCCAGTATGTTGAGGGCGCCCTCGACAGTTTTGCAGAGCTCGCCGCGGCGATCCTTGACTTTCAAATAATCATTTTTAGGAAAACACTTTTATTTATAATGCTGCCAGGTCATCATGCATACCACAGACTTTTACCATCGTCCGCAATTTTTTTTTGGATTGCAAGAAGCCAATTTACTATGGGCTCCGTGCAAAGTACCCCCTCAACGGTAAGAAAGGGAGGGTTGGGGAGACCTGGAGAGACATTCGAACGCTTTGCCGAAGAGTAGGCCGCGCTACAAAATAATGTGCAGTTTCCGAGGTGGTGAGCTTTGATTTTTGCTCACTTCGAAAGTGTCTCTGGCAAATATCAGTAAATAAGAGGGAAATTACTGTTTAGTATTTGAAACCTATGCAGTTGAAATGCTTGAAAGTTGCCCTTATGCCGCCGGGAGACAGTGACTATCATTTTGCGTACTTTTTGTGGTATGAGGCAAACCTGTGATTTGTTGACAATCGTGTGTTCAATCACCGACATGCACAGCGCTAAGGATATGCAGCGATTAAAAAATAAACAATCACGATGGGCGCGCCCAGAGGTGACCCAATCAATGGCTTTAAATGGGAGCTAGCTACCGGTCCCCATATTTTTAGGGGGGGGGGGGAACAGTCTATGTCCAATGTATCTCGAAAGCGGTGAAAATGCGCCCTTTTTTGTTCGCGCACAGAGAGCTGGCCCATAACTCAGGATGCAACTACTTTCAAAATCGGGCCGGACAATTGACTCAATCCAACTCTCCACGTGACACAAATAAAACCTTTATTTACCAACTTTTGCTTCCTGTATGGGCTATTCCAAAGACCTTTGCGTGATAGTTCATGAAAAGATGATAATCACTTGACTTGAAAAGTAGTCCTGCAGGGCCCATATTAACCCCGACCCCTCCATTTCCTTTAAAAAAAAAAACATTGAGCTACTTTGGGCATGCAAGGGGGCCTATCTGGTGTAGTGGCGAAAAACTCTCGTTTCTGAGAGTAAAATAAGTGAAAAAATGTGGGTTGCTGCTGTTGCTCGGCGTAGACAATTTCGCCCACTGTGAAGTGTAATTCGAACGCCCTCAACGATGACATGCATTTTGTATCTGTAACGTTTGATTTTTGTTTGTGTTGGCTTTCCATACCTGACATTAGTACCAAGAGAGGGCGCTTGCCCATGAGAGCGTGGGAGATTTGAAAGTACATGAAGTAAGAACGACGTGAAACGTCATAACAACATCAACAAACGACGCTTCGAAGTTTTGCTTCCAGAGGCCCATGATTATACAATGTTTGTGTACTGACCATTAGTATTCGCTTATACTGTGACTGTTACGGAAAGTTCTGGCTATGTCAGAAGAAGAAATGGGTGTGCCAGTTGAGAAAAATGTGAGTGTGAATTAATCATGTCATGTGATACTCAGCAGGGGCGGATCCAGGAATTTCGGTGGGGGGGGGGGGGGGGTTCATCAGCAATTTTGTTTGAAATGTTACTTGTAACTCAAGACAGGTTTTTTTTCTCCAGACACTTGGCCTCCGTAAAATAGAAAACTTGGGGGGGGGGGGGGGGGGGGGGAAGCTGGTACCATATTTCAGTAGGAGGCGCTGTTCGAATGTTCAAATTCGACGATTATGAACACTATACAGAATGGTGTACACAGTATAAAGCTGCCTCTGTCCGTATTTTGAACAGGCTGCAGGTGGACATTAACCCAGTAAGTTTGTTTTTGGGTGTCAGATGGTCAGAGCAAGGGGGGGGGGGGGGGGTCGCATGAATTTTTTTTTAAACAGCTGGGGGGGGGGGGTGTTTGACCCCCCCCCTTTAGATCCATGCCTGTACTGATGACACTGATTACTAATTGTTTTGGTGTGCTTCGCTGCAGATGCTTGAGGATGTTGAGATGAAAGATGAAGTTGACAGTGATGGTTCCTGTGAGTTTGACACATCGGATGATGATCAGCCATTCAACACTTCACCCTTAAAAATTGATTGGTAAGGAACTGACGCAAGATGAAAACTCCAGAATTTAGCCAACTCGTTTGAACATGTTGAATGTTCAAAGGTTGACAACAGAATTCATGGTGTTTTCAGAAAATGACGGGTCTGTGCCCGATGAATGCGGCATGGTTAATCATGTTAAAATAAGCAACAACTGCTCAAGAATAGGTTTCTCTTCTGCAATCCCAGAATGTCAAGAAACACTGAAATTAGTTGCTTTATTGGTTAGATATTAATAGGAATGTGCCTTTTAAATCCTTTGTATACACGCACAATGTACTGCACTTGGGAAAATTCTGGATCATGGCGAAAATATTGTGCATCATTATTTCGGGGAGTTGAATTTTACTTTGACATATCTCCACCAAGAATATTGAAGATATATCTTCTTGACAATTGACCACTGTTGTTTTTTCTTCAGAAACTACACTACATTTTTGTGTGCATGAGTTTGAAAAATTGTTGGAAATTCTTTTATTTATGGTGGTTTTTTTTATTTGTTTGAAACACACTATAGGTTAGACCTATCTCCACATGGTTTACCAGGCCAGCTTGGAATCAGTGATGTACCAGGTAAACTTTGAAATTAAAATTACAGACGAGACACCATTTAACAGAAAATATTTAGGTGATATTTTTGGCCCATTGTATCTTTCTAAACTAAAGAATTCACTCAAAGTGGTCCCCAAAATTCAAAACTTGTGATGTTCATTTTTCGTAGTTGGCATTCACTCTTCTTCTTCTTTCTTTTCTTTTTCAGGATGTCGTTTTGGTGAAGTGTGGAGAAAGCTCAAACCTGATATTGGTAAGACAGTGTGCCGGTGAGCAATACTTTCTGGCTGGATGTATGTTTACAGACAGCAAAAAGAGATCCGTTTGTGGGGTGCTGTGGTCCAGTGGTTACGGTATTCGACCCATTCTCCATGGTATGGGGAACATGGTACTTGTGTCCTTGGGCAAGACACTTTACCACAATTTCCTCTCTCCACCCAGGAGTATAAATTGGCAACTGTGTGTGTAGAGACCAGATTGCCCTGATCTTGGCTGCAAAAAAAAAAGGTCTCATGGGCTGAAAACAGGGGTAATTTGTGTAACTGCGAAGTGTTTTGAGACCTAGATTTAGTGGAAAGGGTTATATACAGCGACAGACATTGTTATTATCATTATGATAATTTTAATTTCTGTCAAAAAGTGCATTTAGGGTGTATTACAAAACTTTTGATTGTCAAACAGGTGAACATACATTCTTGTCACAGACCATTCTCAAATTTAATCCAAATAAATATGCATACATGTACATATCTAGACTAGAGCCACTGCGGAAAAATGTTGCAATTATGCCACTTTTTTATTCATATATCATCTCAATGAAGGTCGGTCATTGCAAAACTGACGATAAGACATGAATCTGGGACTGAGAAACATTTCCAATTTTGTCAGGGAATAGTTAGAAAATTGTCTTGACTCTCCATAGACTTTATACACAACCACTGAAGCGGCGTCAGGTTCGTGGGTCGCAACATTTTTTCCGCTACTGGCAGTAGCTAACATTTTTTGCTTGATACGTGGGCTGACTGAGCACCATGAGTGAGCCTATTTATTACCAGACTCATGCCAAAAGTAGAAAATTGGCACATTTTAAGGTTTGAATTTAAAAGATTGAAAAGGTTGAAGCCAATTCTTGAAATAGAAAAGAAATAATTGCATATAACAGTGAAATAAAACTCAATGGAGCACTTGGCACTGATGTTTGAAAAGCACTAAGACAACCTGTCTAGTCAGTCCTAGAAAGCACTCTCCCCGGCCTCTCTACTCAGTACAGCAGTCCATTAGGTATTCTGGAGCCCTGGACACCCTCTCTGATCGCCTGCTCTCACAAGCCATCGTGTGCTGTTTTATTTTATTTAGATGATCTGAAACAGCTTGGTATCACCGACACGCTTCTGTTGTGCACCGAGGCTGAGCTGACCAGATACCGAGTGCCACAGCTACTCTCGGAGTACGCCATGGCACAGTTCAGCACCCACCACTTCCCCATTGAAGACGGGGCAAACCTGGAAATCACAAACATCTTAGAAACACTGCAAACTCTCAGAGATGCTCTTACTGCTGGGAAAAAGGTAATTATCAGGGTTCGACCTTAACTTTTTTGTTCACTAGGCAGCCGGGCTACTGAAACAGACTCTTAACTAGCCCGGGGGCATTTTCACTAGCCCGCATTGTTTTTTAGCTCAAATCAAAATGCCGTATTTTCAGGCTCAATTCTAAGGCAATTTTGTTCTTCCCGTCCTTTCATCTTTGCCGTAGCCCAATAATCTTTCACTTGCCAGCTGGGCTACTTAAGGAATAGTTTGACTAGCCTGCCGCTGTTTTGACTAGCATCTGGCTAGCGGGCTACCGCTAATTTCGAACCCTGATTATGTAAGTGTCAGAAATAAGATTCATTGGGATATTTTTTCGTGATCTCATTATTTTGTAATCTGGAATTTGTGAGATTTAAGGTACCACTGTAAAGGAGATTAGCGACCATGGCAAAATACTTTAACCAATGACCCTGTGCAGTGAGTGTGTACAAAAACTCTGGTACGTTTGTCGCCTACAGAGACGTTATGGGTTTGTAGTGTGCTCATTTCACGTAAACATTGGTCACATGCACTACACAAGCATGAGATAGTGTGCACACTTGGTGTGGCCTTCGCTACAGCTGTGAGGAGACCACAGTGCCATGCATCTACAGTTTCTCACCGTGGACCACTGAAAGAGTGGACCATGTGCCTGTACTACTGTTATTGGGGTAGACATGTATGCATGTAAAGCAGTCTGTTTCAGTTGAAAACAGAAAACAACATGGCAAATTACGCTAAAGATTTGGTAATTTTAGCATAGGGATCACTCCCTAGTCTCTTAAGCATACTTTTCAACTATAAAACTTTAATGTTCATGTATTCAAGTTTAATGTTCATGTAATTATAGACAGTCTGAGGACAGCAGGAGAACATCCTATTCATTTTTGTCGTCAAATGGAGTTATTTTGCTAAGAATGGTCCTTGCACGTACGCTTGTGTGCTTAGTCTGGGGGTGGGGTGTTACAGAAATAAAAAGAAATATAACACCTTGTCCCCGAATGTTATGGTAAAGTACAACCTAATTAACTTGTGAAGTGTTTGTCTTGCCAACAGGTTTTAATGCAGTGTTACGGAGGGCTAGGAAGATCTTGCCTCGTCGCTTCATGCCTCCTGCTTCAGTTGGATCCCGGGATGGATTCAGAGACTGCCATCCAGAGAGTGCGGGAGCTGAGGGGTCATAAGGCCATTGAGACGGTCAAGGTCAGAATCTTACGAATCACAGAATACTGACAGGCACATCACCTACAACTGCCAGTGTTTTATTTGAGTCCACAAGTCCATCACAAGTCCATTGCAAGTTAATTTGAAAAATGTGTGCGCACGCCTGATGCTCATGCAAAGCCCATTGTACTGTAGCATTAAAATAGCTTAAATTGTAATTGTTCTCCAATTTTATTTCTTCAGCAATATAACTTCATCAACGACTTCCGCAAGCTTGCAGAGGATTGTCAAGAAGCTATGCAAGCAGCTCCAGAACAACGATCAGTCTCAAGATAAAAGGGCTGAATGTCGCCAAAGAATCATGATTGAACCCCAACAGATGTGATAAAAGCTAAATTCTGCTTCAATCGTTGGAAATTGAGTGATATCCAGAAAAGCTTAAGGAACACGGTGAATGTGTTTTGTGGAATTGTGAGAATTTGTCTATTTTTATATGCCTTGTGAAGAAAAGTTTGAACATACATGCACCCTGTAATGTGTGACTGATTTAATCATTCCCAATCATGTCCAACTATTTCATTCATGATTGATTGTACATGTGTTGTTGAAACTAGAGTAAATTTTATATACTAATTTGAAAAAAAATCAACTGGGGTGGACCAACCTTCTCTGAACTTTTTGATAGAGAGTCACAAGCTCTATATTTGATATTTTTCAATAAACAGTATTTGGACAAGCTATATTTTTTATATTAACCAGAGATTTTTTGTGTTCAAAGAATATAGACCAACCAATCAGAATGCAGCTCTAGTTCTGTATTTCTAATTTTTTTTTTTTTGTGTTACCAAAATTAAGGGGTATTTCGCCTACTTCAGGAGTATATACCAGTATATGTATTCTTTAATTTGACAAATCCCTGATTTATTTAATAAAATTTATGCAGGAAAATAGGAAATATTTAATGTTGGTAATGGCATTGTTTCCGCTAGAACCTGTGCATGGAGGGTAAATACGTGTTCTGCTGAGAAAGGCACATATATAAACTTGTGTGTTATGAATTCATTGAAGTGATGAAATAACAAACACAACCCATCTACGCTGTCCACAATATTGCAAGGTCAAGCAGTATGGCAAATAAAGTCATGCGCTAACTGCAGGGACCATTTTGTTTCAAATAGATATTTAATTCAATACCATTAAGATCATGAATTGTTAATTTAATCCAATTATTAAAAAGTAGACATCTTATTCCAAAAGAGTTGTATTACTTAGTAAAAAAAGTCCCACAACATTCACACTTTCATCCCATTTTCATGCATTGATGAGTCTGATATTGGGGACGGAAATGTTCTCGAGAAGCTTTCATTCTAAATGTATTACTCAAAGCTGATGATTATTATTGCTGCTTCATAAAACATTAAGATACTGGTACATGTATGTATTATCTTCAATGATCATGAAAATGATGATACATGGGTAATAAAGTCTCCATAAAAATCTGGAGAAAGAATTTATGAACTGCTTCATGGTTTGGGTGCAGTGTTTCTATACACATCTTCACGTCTTGTTTGGTTCTCCATTCATTCAATCATGACTGCAAACAGTGAAATCTCATTTCAAGTGGATGATGTGTATTGTTTCAAAAAGAAAAGTCCATTTACATACAGACTTTTCTCGTACCATGATTCATGCAGTTTCTCTCTGATATCTTAAAATGAAATGGAGAAATGTTTAGACTTTGGGGAAATGTAAGGTCGGAGAATCAGTCTAGCAGGCTTGTACCCCTTCACAGGTGTGAAATCAACTGCAAAGAAAATGCGGAGTAACAAAAGATGAACAATTAAGAGCGGTTTTTGAAAAAAGCCAGTTTTCTCAAAAGCTGGTTGGCCAACCAGCGTTTGAAAAATACAGTTTTTCTTGAAAATGTCGGCACACCACTGACCAGGAGCCACATTTTTACAGGGTGTTTTAGACTCATTCCTAAGGTATTTTGTGATAATTGGATCATTTTGTTTTTTTGATGTTTGCAAATGTATCTTCCTTAATGCACGAAAAAAGGTGTGCCCGTGGACGCAATATAAAAACCACCTTCAATAATTGTTTTCTGTCAGTCGATACCATATCAGACAGAATAATTTCACAGGGTTATGTATTTAGTACCAGTCCTTTTTCCACTTTCAACAAGGATTTCTCATTAAATCAGTAGGGTCGTTTCCGGGTAATTAAATTAACAATATTCCTACTTGCTTTTAGACATAGTTGCATTTTTTTTTTGGGGGGGGGGGGGGGGAGGTGGGTGAGAATCATCCCATATTCTTATCAGCAGAATGGTACAACTGTTTGCAAGAGGCCACCATGAATAGCGGCAGCTGCTGTCCAGTCATCATATGAACAGTGCCCTCTGGTGTCTGACGTTGTCCAGGCGTTGTACGAATTGGTCTGACCCGTGTGGGCAGGTCTGTCACGATGCGGACGACACGCCTTGCTATGATTGAGCCATTCTGTATCACGACTGTTCTTGTTTCTTCTGTGTCCTTTGCACGTTTCTCGACACGCACTCCCTGAACTTGGCAACTTCCTTCTGGCACTGTCTCCAATCTCTGTGCTCTGCCATACAATTCTGGGGAAAAAAAATACAAATTTTAATGTGAACAGTTTTAGGAATTTGGAAGCAAGATCTTTGGTCCACAATTCAGGTGATTCACAATGCAGTGCGCCACCAAGAGTTTGCCATGGAGAATCCATTTTTCAAATTTACTTTCGACAAACCATGGCCTCATTGAATGAGTGTCAGTTGACAACGAGGTGATTCGAGGTTACCCATTGGATGGATTACCAGCACAGTGCAGCAGTACCAATTGTGCATTTTTCCAGCCCCGTTCCCGGGTGAGTGAATCTTTGTGATGAGTATTCACCTGGACATCATGATGTAGTTTCAGACAGCCAGCTTTTTTCAGCATTGCATCGACAGGGTCATCCTCCTCTTCCTCTTCATCCTCTTGCTCCGCCCCCTCCCCTTCATCCTTGTCCTTTTTCTTGGATTGACTCCAGTTGTGCTTTAAGTGTTCCGGTACATGCACAGACATCTCTCTAGATCCAAATCTGTATACCGATTGAAAAAAATGCAGAATGTTAAAATTTATCAACTAAAAAAGAAAAGAAACTGCCATCATCCCCCATCCATTCTTGTCGACTCACTAAGTTAAAGGGAATATACAACATTGATTTTGCTGTAATTTTCAGAAGTGGATGGATTTGGGGGGCTAGAATATTATAGCAAATATTGTTATACTGGCTTGTTTGAAGTTTTGTGTTCGTAGAAGCTAGAAAAACCAAGAAAAACAATCATGTTCCTGTGGTCTGGTTCCCTGATCCCACTTAAGATGAAACGGCGCAATTTATAGACGATGGAGAATTGTAAGGTCAGGGAACCAGTCTAACTAGCTTGTACTGTTAATACATGTAGGTGTGCAATCGATTGCAAACAAAATGTGGACTAACTAAATATGGTAAATTGGGGCCAGTATTTGAAAAAAGCCTCTTTTTTTTCCAACGCTGGTTGACCGACCAGCGTTGGAAATTGATACAAAAATACCACTTTTCTTGAAAATGACAGCACGTACACCAGGTGCCATGATTTTACAGGATACTTTAGACTATCATTCACTAACAGTCCACTAACTGAAGTTTGCAAATGTTGTATTTAAAGAAAAGATGCCCAGCACCTTGAGCAAGAAGAAAACTTTACAGGGTTCACTTTTGTTCTGTTTTAAGTTTAATTTCCCATTTTCAAAACCAGAATCTCTTTCTGGCTGATACTATCTAAAGTGGTGTTGTGTCTCTTCTAGTTGAAGAGTGAGTTTTGAAATAGTTGAGGGAAGTTGAGGCAGTCAATGGCAATCGACAGCATTTAGTATATGACCATAAATGGACAGAGAAACAGTCGACGATGGCAGAAATGGATGGAACACATTTTGAGAGGGTGTCCCAGTAGTGGTTTACATTGAAGACCAGAGAGGAAGAGGGGACAAGAGAGAAGGAAAGAGTTTCTTGATGGGATGAAGACAGGGAGTTAGATGGAGGTGAAGAGGGTGGCTCAGCACTGAATGGTATTGAGGAATAGGCCTCTGTACTAACGATGTCATACTTTGTTTACGTGTGCGCTTTCCTATGGCATTTGTATGGTGCTCAGTAGACCGTGATCTGGCTATTGCCAGACCATGTCCAAATGTTAAAAAAGGCGATAAGTTGGGTCCAAGTTACTCAGAAAAACTTATCGCCTTTTTTAACATTTGGACATGGTCTGGCTATCGCCAGACCATGTCCAAATGTTAAAAAAGGCGATAAGTTGGGTCCAAGTTACTCGGACTTCGTAGACATAGAGTATATACAGCATGTTCGCGTTGTTGTAGCTAGGGCCTAGCTTAACCCCACTTGTGTGGCCTCAGTATTGCTGCGCTGTACGTTTAGGCCACACGTCTGGTTTCCCAACCTACTGAGGAATTTAGTCCAAACACTGGCACATAGGCCTACTATGCAATGATATGGACTCCAGAAAGATGCTTAATTTCTCGAAAAATTTGAAAAAATATTTCCTAATCTACTCGGAGGGCAAAAGATGAGAAGTCATAGAATACAACCATAATACATAAACAGTGGTCCTCTGGAGAAAGATCTGGCCCTGTCTGTGCGTGATACCGGTGTGGCAAGATTACCATATGCGAAGTTCACTAATTTTCCTCTGTATATTGACTAACGAGCCCCCAGATAGCAATTTCATGTCATCAAAGTCAATTTGAGCAGTGAGAAAATACAAGCATTTTCTTAGAAAACACTTAAAATTTTTCAGTCCAATCTCATAGGGTTTGTACACAGGGTGTTGAGCTATTCCTTCCTCCATGGTTGAGTTGAGTGAACTTCGTATAATGGAAATCTTTCCGATAAGAATAAGAAGAGTTTCAAATGATATTACAAATAACAAATTTACTGATCACTTACTTATGAAGTTATAATGACATACACCCATGCGGGTCGTTCTAGGAGTATACGAGTCGCACTAAAACATGTAAAAAAAAAAGCATCAACACAGCGTCAACATGTTGCACCCATAATGGGCATTACATGCATAAATTAGGAATCCGCCGAAACTATGTAATAACGCCCTCTTTCGTCCAATTTCTAGTTTCGTTAACGTACAAATTCGGCGATGCTCAGATATATCAGCGCACCCAGCCTGCCAATATTTTATTTACAATATCGCCAGCTGGCTGCAGCCAAGTAGACTTGCTCAAGTCTGGGTTTCGGTTTCGCTTGGTCAGTGCGGGAAACGCGAACGCACGCCGTAGGTTGCGTATTTGTATGGCCGTAAAAGTAACATTGATTAATCAGTATCAGATACTTAAACATTGTATTATGCAAAATTTAATACTTTGTTAAGCTGCATATTCATGTAAGTTTGCTCTTATTTTCTCCTCTTTTTTGTTTACAAATGCTTGTGTGCGTTGCTAAAATAAATACAACGTATCGTGCTTATCTCAGTACAAAACAAAATAAGCAATACTACATTGTACAAATACGTAGACGGTAAAAACTATTTTAAAGATATAAACATATAGTTCATGGTAATGTTAAATGTTTGAATGGAGGACTTGCGAGATTTGTGTTACAATATTGTTCTTTTTGTATGGAGGAGAATAATTTAGTTGGAGTACCTTTTACATGTACAGCTATAATAATGACAATAATAATAATTTGTCCTCAGGAAATTTTAAGATGTGTTTAAAAAACATTGGCGGCAGTGTGTTATTTAATGACGCAAATGGGGATATTAGTAGTTTCGTTGCAACGAAATTAGGAATTTTTAGTGTTTTTCAAAGAATTTCTATCACGGCCCAAAATGATTTTCTAATGGTTTATTCAGGATCTTGATAGTGTATGGAAAAAACATTGGCGGTAGTGTTTTATTTAATGACGCAAATGGGGATATTGGTAGTTTCGTTGCAACGAAATTAGGAATTTCTAGTGTTTTTCTTAAAATTTCTCATCACGGCCCACATTTTCAGATGTTTCACTCGGGGTCTTGACAGTGTATGAAAGAACATTGGCAGTGGTGTGTTATTTAATGACGCAATGGGGATATTAGTAGTTTGGTTGCAACGAAATTAGACATTTCTAGTGTTTTTCTTAATATTTCTCATCACGGCCCACATTTTTAGATGTTTCACTCAGTCTCTTGACAGTGTATGAAAGAACATTGGCAGTGGTGTGTTATTTAATGACGCAATGGGGATATTAGTAGTTTAGTTGCAACAAAATTAGAAATTTCTGGTGCTATTTTTAGAATTTCTCATCACGGCCCACATTTTCAAATGTTTCACTCATTTTCAAATGGGGATATATAGTGTGTATATAGAAAGGGGCAATGTCCCCCCCCCCCCGCCTCTGGATACGCCACTGCCCCGACCCCCACTCAAATGTTGTGGAGTGGGTGACCGTGGGAGGCTCAGGAAGTGTCTCAACCATTTTGGCAGGGATTGTGCATGCCTACATGCATGTTCTAAAGTTAAAATTATCCACCAGAGCAAATTTTGTAATTTACTTTCTACTTGCAAAAAACCGCTTTCTAATTAAAACATTTGCAAATGTTTTAATTAGGAAGCGTTTTTATTTTTTATAATTTTGTTAATGTTATTACCGGGCAATTTATATATCAACTAGCAGAATCGGTCATTCATAAATAGGACCTACCCGGTTTTAGGCAGAGCAGAAGCATTTTTTTTCAAGATTTAATTTTTCACCAGAGGCGTTGTAAACATACGAATAGCAGCCCGAAGTTATAAGCAAGGAAATTAAACACAAAGTGTTATGCAAGATAGATTAATTATCAGAAACGTTTCACAAGAGCAATAAATGAAGGAACCAAATTAATAAATCGAAATAAAAATCTTAAACTAAGGCCAAAAAAATGAAATGACGTCACATTTAATTGTTTATTTAATCTGCAATTATTATGATGTATTTAAATTTAGTACATGTGTTTAATTTTGAGATTTCTGTGATTTCAGGTAATTAACAACTCATTCACTCAAACACATTTCGTGTCAGCCGTTCTTGGTTTTGCTTTTGAGTATGTGGCGTGTAGGGCTGTTTGTTTTCCTTCCTCCATTGTCCCTATATTGGTAAACCGGGATGTGTTATAGGTAAAAAATTGGGGTGATGTCACCATGACGTCATCATGCGATTTAATATATTTTTTGAATTTTTGGAGCTTTAAGCCATATCTCACGAACGCAACATGCTAAATTGAAAATTCTTGTTGTATTATGTTTGTTAGAAAACACATATAAGAGAAGGCCCAATCGTCATGAAACTTGGTGGATAGGTAGATGGTGTCACAAGTATGCAAAATCTGAAATGACGTCACCATGACGTCATCGGTAGATTTTATATGATTTTTTTAAATATTGAAAATTTTGTTGCATTTAAAAATTTTACACTTTGTTTTAAAGGATTAACGTCAAACTTGCTGCACATCAAGACTACAATAAAAAATATGTAAACTGACAGGTAATGTTATGATGACGTCATCATGGGACACGTGGCGTCATCACAAACGTGCATATTTTGAAGTCCTATATCTACAGAACAGTAAGTCCGATTGGGTTGAAACTCGTAGTTTCGGTAGACTGCGATGTGTAATAGATAAAATGAGGTGACGTCATAATGACATAATCGTGCGATTTTATATGAATTTTTGAATTTTTGGACCTTTAAGCCGTATCTCACGAACGCAACATGAAAAATTCAAAATTCCTTTTGTATTTTGTTTGTTAGGTAATAGGTATATATACACATTTTTGTTGTGACGTCACGATGACGTTATCAAAAACGCGAATTTCCAAAACACATATAACAGAAGTTCCCATCCTCATGAAACTTTGTGGATAGGTAGATAATGTCACAAGTATGCAACATTTGAAATGACGTCGTCATGACATTATCGGTTGATATTTTTATGATTTTTTAATTTTTAAGATTTTATTCCGCTAAAAAAATGTTACACTTTCTTTCATGGGATTTATTGTGTTGTTACAATGACGTCATTGCGGGACATGTGACGTCATGTTAAATGGTGTACATTTTGAAGTCCTATACATGTATGTGAAGAATTTAGTTCTCTTACTACGGAATCTAAGTGCATATGGACAAAACACCCCCCCCCCCCCAAAAAAAAATACGGAAAAGCCCTATGTTCTGTTCATCGAACAGACATAGCTCGAGTAATTTCTTCTTTTTGTTCCATGCAAAATTCCATAGACTTTGTACACGATTCTAGTACACGCCACTTTTGGCATTGAACTTTGTCGTACATCATTCAAATTAAGCATATGCATTGTCCTTATGGCAAAGATGTGTCCCGAAGACTTACGTCATGGTGACGTCATTGACTAATTTATTATAGATTTTTGAATATTTAATTTTTTCCCATAGACTTTGTACACAGAAATTAAAAAAAAATTGTCGATTTTCAAAGGGCATTTTTGACTCTTTGCCAGTAATTCATTTACACCAATCTTTGTCCAAGCAAAGACCCTAATTCGAACAACATTGCGTAATGATGACGTCATGATGACGTCATCCGGTGTTTATTAATGGGCAATTACATTGTGACACTTTTAATATTTAAAAATACATAAGAAATCAACCGTACGCGTCCGCAGCATTCTGTAGCCGGCAAGTGGTAGAGTAGGTTGAGGTCTTTATTTCATTTAGTGTGCGTGCAATCACGTGACAATTGCTTCCAGTCGAAAAAGGCCAAAACCGGAAGTGGCTTATTTTTAAAAGTGGTAATAGATATTAACTTGCTTTCAATGGTGTTAGTCTCTTGGCTGATAGTATTCTTCAAATCATCTACCGATGACGTCATGCAATCTTCGAGCGCCCTCTAGCGACAGGTTGAACATTTTCAAAAATGTATTTTGAATAGATGTCTGTGGAGAAGTTTGTCGGAATCGCCTAAATATTGGTGTAGGCCTATATGATGACCTTGACCCACTTAAGACGTGTGCGAAGTTTTAGGCGTATGACGTAATCAAACCGGAAGTTCCGTTGAAAAGACCTTTCCTTTTTTCAAAAATTGCTAACAAATATAAAATCAGATATCGTCGGGTGCCCGGCAGAAGGGCATATGAGCATTCTGACGCAAAAATCATTTTCAAGAAAATTGCATTGAAAGGTTCCAATGTTCCCCCTCGCGCCTTATGACGAAAATGTTTAAATTTGATTAAGATGGAGGCAGTTTTCTGCATATGCCCTTTTGCTGGGAACATTTTGGTCATTACGCGCTATTGCATAAGGGCATATGCACATATGCCCTTCTGCCGGGCACACGACGATATAATCTTAAATTACCCATTAAATGATAACGTTAACATTTGCCTCAACAGTGCCAAGGTCCCAGTTTGTCAAATTGTTCACAAAGTTGACACGGCGTTGGCAAAAAATACCCTTGCGCAAGTTGCGGCAGAGAGAGTAAAGTCTGTGCGTGTATACATTGACCGGATTCGGCATTGCCTGCTTCCCATACACCACACACGCATGCGTATTTGGTTCCATACGGGAATTGTTTTTTTTGGGGGGGGGAGATTTGTTTGATTTTTTTTTTTGAATTTTTTTTTTGAATGTTTTTTTTTTTTTTTTTTTTTTGGGGGGGGGGAATTTTTTTGTTTGTGTTCTTACCTACCTGCCCTCAGCGTCACCCTTCCCCTTAGTAGTCATAATCTTAGGGATGCAACCCTGCAAATAAATTCCCATAGACACTTGTGCTAAATGCCCATACTTCAAAATTCAAGCTGCACAGAGAAATGATGATCAACATGTCATCTTTCCTTTTCTTTTCATTTTTTTTGGTGGGTTGACCATTGACTTTTCGAGATAAACTCACCCGAAAGAAGACGACCCCTATTTTCCCCTATAGTAGCCATTTTGAAAAAAAGATCCCTCCACAACATGGCAAAATAGCGCCACTTACGAGCCCAATAGCATACACAATGCTCAGAATTGGAAGCCCCAAGCCCGGGCCAGAGGTTCATTACCATATCTCTTCAATTTCCCAATTTTATCAGAACTCTCTAATATAGAATAGTTTGAGGATATAACTTTTATTTATGAGCTCGGCGGACGGATTGAGGCCTCATTTACCGGTGTGCACCCTAAAGATTCATCAGGAATAGTCAAAATATTTTGGTCTGGGAACCAGACTGCTCAGGGTAAGGGGCGCCGCTGACGGCAGGTAGGAAAAAAAAATCCCCCCCCCCAAAAAAAAAACATTTAAAAAATAAACATTCCCCCCCAAAAAAAAAACCACATTCCAAAGAAAAAAAAAAACCATTTTCCACTGGAGGTCTGGGTACATGTGCCCCGTCTCCCCCGTAGTTATGCCCCTGGGGGTAGGCTTTGCTCCTTGATTGGGACTTTGAGGAAATACAATAAAGTTAAATAAACTTCAATCCGGCCCCGTGTATTACCGCGTCCTTCTAAAGTAGACGAATCTTTTTAAAATTGAGTATCTCCCAGTCAAAATAATTGTCACAGGCGTAAAAAGTACCCCCCTTATTCTTTTTTTAGATTCACCCCGCAAACTTTATTCTGATTCAAAGCATCGTCTTGAATATTCATTTTCATTGACCAATCACTTTCGCCGCTACCACAATAGAGATTCGGAATACGGGGCGCGGCCCGCGTTAGCGCCATTCCAATGCTAACCGGAGCCCAGGGAACATCTGGTCTTAAACTGAGTTTCCCTCTCCCGTATATTTCATCTTTCAGTGAGTGTGAGAATAAATCATCACATCATCAGAACTTCCCCTTTATTACTGACTCTAATAATATCAAGGGTCACAAATGGTGGAAGATCCAGGTAGAGGACCTTCATCGGCAACTCACATCTCTGACAACTAGTTGACAAGGGCCGTCGACAAAATCCTCCTATCCACTCCGTCACAACAGCACTGCGACGCGGACCTGAGACCTGTTCCGAAAAGCTGCTACCAAGCCGACCCGGTCATCGAGGCCGATACAGCAGGCTGGGTTACCAGTGCTTTCGACGAGCCGTCAGGTTGCCGGACGCTGTGCGACCACGACGCCTCGGCCTGCAGGTCGTTGATCTTCATCGAGCTACCTGGCACTGTGCACCGTGACCGAACTGAGGATCGCCCGTGTATCCGCATCGAAGAATCGTGTGCTCGTCCAGCTCCCTGGTGCAGTCATTGCGCTGTTGAACAACAAACCCGGACATCGCCTATCCTGTCAAGCCTGATCGTCTGTCCCTGACCACAAAAGTTCTCTCCTCAGCTCAAGTTTTCTTGATTATTCGCGAACATTAAAAAGGAGTCAAAAACTGAACTTTGTATTCGCCGCGATCGTCAACTCGAACTGTAAATCCCGTTGTCCACAAACTTCGCCATTTTCAAGCAGTGACCATTGAGCTACCGGCACCAGTTCCACACGCATACCTGCTGTGGTCAAGACGCCGTAAGTGTATGTTAAATGAGCAAATAGATTGTGTAGTCCATTGATTGTCAATTGCTCTTCAATCGAACAATTACATTGGAATTTGACTTCCGAATTCTGAGCATATACTCACCTGTCATTGCACTCTTAGCTAAACAAAGCTCTTCCCAAATTTGTAGTAGACAATCGCTTCGTTTGCGTGCTCAACATTTTGTGACAGACTCACACAGGTGTAGTACCTAAAGAACCCTTCTTTAGGGCCCTGTCACACTTCTGCGTATCCTAATTCCTTATGAGTTGCGCATTGACATTTTTTTCATACGCAGTCGTACGCACAATAGGAACCTCATATGCATCTCTATCGTTTTGTGTAGGTTTTATGTACGCAGATATACGCATGGTACGGCCCAGTACGCAGAATAGTTTTGGGCATGCACAAAACTACGCTGCGTACGCTGTTACGCAGGTCATAAGTTATAAATACGTAGCGCATCGGTCCCGCATCGGTCGAGTGCGTTACGAGTACGCTATGTGTTCGTGACGCACCCCGTCAGCATATGAGCCACCTGTATTGGACGTATGCATAGCGTACTTGCAGCGCAGATGCAACGCACGCTGAACGGCGAGCGGTGGAAATGCAGCGGAATACGCCCACAAGTGCGTCAAGCATGCGGTCGGCATAAGTCGGGTGCGTCCGGAATACGCTCGGCATGCGCACTGCATACTGACCTATTCGCAGCCCGAAAAATAATGTTGTGCACTGCATACGCAACTCATACGCATCTCATACGCAATGGATGCGCTGAATTCGTTACTTGTACGCTAGATGTGCGTTGCACATAAGTCAAAGTGATTATAACTTTTCGACGTTAATTGGACGTACAGCTGCGTATTGAAAATTTTTGATAAGGAACTCATAAGGAACTAGGATACGCAAAGGTGTGACAGGGGCTAAATATTCAGCTTCTTTAGTCGAACGTTTACTTGTTGCCAATGTAGCCATTTGAAGAAGTGTTTTGATTTTGGTTTCATTGCTTTGATATTTATTTGTGCATGCTGATTGATTAATTTTTATTTGATTGTTATTTCCATTTCCAGAAATGTTAGAATGTATGACCGGTGATGATGGACCTGAAAAGCAAACGTTCACTACCTAAAATAATGTCAAAGTTCCAAATGAGCATGTAAAATGAATTAAGATAAATCGCGTTTTACCTGCCTGTTAAGTTTTGTTCCTGTTTTCGTTGATAATGTTAGATGTAGTTATTTGTTAATGTTTTTCTTTCGACAGGTTGGATGTCATCCACACCATAGACCTTATGTGAGGTATTTACTTACATTGATATAGCATTTTAACCCTGCGCAGCGTTTACAAACAAACTTTACAACTCGTCAGCAGCAGGTATTTTCCCACACTACGCAAGACCCTATTCATAGCAATACAACAAAAAGGCACGTGGCAGACAGTGTCCAGACAGTTGTCTGACAGTGCGCTGGAAAGATAATTGACTGGCGGCTGTGGTATGCAGTTATGAACGGAGATGACTGTGTCAAGTTACAGGTCTTTGTTGATTTTCAATGAGACTTGGCAGGAGGCCTGGTCGAAAGTTTGTTGACACGGCCTTGGTGTAGCACTGGCTGCAAAGTTCATTGAACCAGCTGATTTGGCACGGGTTGAATGAGGATTAGATAGGAGGTGAACGTTATTGGCCCTCAATTTTTTTTTAATTCGGTTACCTTGGGCCCAAAGGGTAGCAGGTCACTCTGCGCAGGCTTAAAACAAAATTCGTCGCATATCTGACGAACCGACGAATACGCGTGAATACGCGGAAACGCAATTCTGAGAAAAACGCGTTTGAAGTTGAACACTTTCTACGTGTCCTTTTCGATACTACTTTCCCCTTTTGTACATTCTTAATTGATGCAAGGTAGTTATTTGATTGTTAAAATACTTCTATTAATTTTTTTTTTTGCTCGTAAGAGTAAAGGTTTGTCTCATTTTTGCAGTGAAACTTATCTGTCACTGCGCGAGATAGCAATAAACGTCAGTGTGCTTATTCGCCACGTAAAAATGTCTTATTCGTCACTTTGTAAGATAACATTTTGACTGTGCGCGCGTTTTCGCATTACAAATCCATTGCATATTCGTCACTACGCGCATTTTCAAAGAAATGTGTATGTTTTACAAACATTTTCTTTTCTTTTTCAAGGAAGAAATATGGTAACACATAAACCCCACGTTCAAATCCAAGTACTTGCTATACATTTTTATTAATATACAGTAGCCTAATAAAACAGTTATTATAAAGGAAAATATCTCGAATGGACGCAACAAAATAATAGGAACACAAAACTGTGAATGCGAACTAACAACGAACAACACTATTTATTCATTCATTCATTCATTCGTGTAAGACAGCAATTGATTTAAAAACAATCAGTTTTGTTTCATAATCCCATTATTATTGTCTTCCAGGGTACAATAATCTTAGTAAAGGCTTGTTATCATTAGGCATTCTGCTTTAATTAGCCGCTTAAAAGGCTCCGTTTTCGAGAATACAAAACCAGTATCTCGAAATGCAGTATTTTGGGTATCCTATAAAACGTCGTCTTTGAAGAAAGTGTACCGCACACGTTGAAATAAATTTATATTTTTATTTCATTATCCTAATCATCACTCACCAGCTAGGGCCCACGTTATTTCAGTATAGGCTCATTCCAATGAGGTTTTCTGCTCTTAAAGAGGCTCCGTTTTCGAGAATATCTCGAAATGCAGTATTTAGGGTTTCCTAAAAAAAACGCCTACTTAGCAAGAAAACCTACAAATAAAACATATTTTTATGTCATCATCCTGAGTATCACCTTCCTGGGCACTCTTCATTTTCGTTATGGGCTTATTCCTATGAGGTCTTATGCTGAAATTAGCCATTTAAAGGGGTTCCATTTTCGAGAATATCTCGAAATGCAGTATTTTGGGTCTCCCATAGAACGCGGTTTTTAAAGAAAGTGTACCGCACATGTTTTGAATAATTTTTTTTTTATTTAATAATCCTATTTTCACCTTCTAGGGTGCACCTCATTTCAGTATGGGTTTATTCCAATAAAGTATTCTGCTCTAAGTAGCCGCTTAAATGGACTCCGTCGAAATGCAGTAATAATGCTTTCCTATAAAACGCCGTTTATGAAAGAAAGTGTACCGCACGTTTTAAAAAAATATCCTCATTTTCATCCCTAATAGGGGGCACTTTATTTCAGTATGGGCTGATTAAAATGAGGTTTTCAGCTCTTATTAGCCACTTAAAGGGGACTGTTTTCGAGATTTTCTCGAAATGCAGTAGGCCTTTTGTGGAATTCCTATAAAAGGCCAGTTTTGAAGGAAAGTATATCGCACGTTTTAAATGAATCCCAGTCTGTATATGCCTATCTGTCGCGCAGTCCTAGCCTAGTACAGTTTGTACTCCGTTCATTGTAAGATTACAACTACACACACACACACACACACCCAAGTTTACGTTACATACCAAGTGTGGACTTTCCATTGCTTTCGTGTAGTTAAGAAAAACCAGTGAAAAAACTCATTTTTCTCAAACTGTGAAAACTCTTTCAACCCAATTTCTTTTCTATGATTCCCTTTAGTGTTTCTCTTCATTCTGCTACAGATAAACCTAACCCGAAAATGCCTCTAAACCTGTTTTTCAGAAATGGGGAAACACTGTGTGGACTTGCCCAAGTCCGCACAGTGTCTCCTCTACCTGGTTTATGTGGACATCTTTTGTTCGGAAGTCCACACAGTGAATGTAATGCCTGTACACCCCCCCCACACACACACACAAAATTGCATAAAGGTGAAGTAGTAACGGTTATCTCTTTTTAGTCATCATTATAATGTTGCAGCGCCGTTGGTTTGTTTTGAAAGCTGACGGAAAGCGCGCGAAACATCCCTGGTTCCCTCATACGCCGTTCAATTATTAAGGCGAGTGTGTGCGTAACCAATGAATAACTGGTTATTCGTCACTTTGTCAGATACTGGATGCGCGCTGTTCTGATATGACCAAGTGTCGAATAATGTATTCGTCAGTTCGCAAATATGTGCCGATTCGTCACTTAGGGGGTTTCGGAACTACAAAAATGAACTGCTTTCATGAATTAAAAACCTAAAAATCTGAAAATTCGAATATTTTTAACCCTAAAACTCAATGAATAAAAAAGAACACCAAAATGACCGATTCGTCACTTCGTCAGATATGCGACAAAATGAAACCGAAGCTGCATGTTTACTTAGACGTCAACCAAGCGATGATCCGTCTAAATTTCACTAGTTTTCGTTTTTGATAGAGTTCAATTTTATCTATCTATCGTTTTATAGTCTAGCGAAACTGAAGACGTCAACCAAGCGATGATCCGTCTAAATTTCACTAGTTTTCGTTTTTGATAGAGTTCAATTTTATCTATCTGTTGTTTTATTTGGCAATTTTAATAAATAAGAAGCTTTATGGATATGAAAAGTTGTCACTGAGAAGCCCTGTAAATATTAAAACTTGAAATTTATCATGACAGCAGAAGGTGCAAATGGATGGCCAACATCTGCCCATAAAAAACCAACATATTTCTTTTTTAATTTAACAGTTTAAAACGAATTTTGGAATTCACAGCCATCGTGATAGTTTGCTGTTGACTGGAATCACTTTTTTTTTTATAAGTTACTATTTTTTCTCATGTTAAGCATAGACAGAGTTTCCATGCTTTGTATTCGAATACACCTTTCCCATATCAGGTGATTTTTGTTTCTTGAGGAAGGGAATTTACCTTGAGTGCGTTCGACTACTTCCCCCAGCTTACTCGCGCCTGGCTCCTCGTGTGATGACAGACATGCGCAGTGGAGCTAAATAAACGAACGGTTGCGGGTGAAGTTTCATGCAGGAGCTGGAAACATGACTTTTTGTAGAGGGGGGGGGGGGAAATATTTTCCCCAAAACTTCCTGTATTTCTCAACATATTCTCGATTTATCAGTTTTAGAGGGCGGCCGGGACAGTTTGCCTCCCATTAAATTTAAACCAATATGACTTCTCGCCACTTTATCTTTTTTTTCCCCTCTCTTTTTTTGCTTTTATTTGCAGGGGGGGGGGGGGGGGGGAGGGGGTGCCCCCTTTGCCCCCCGCTCGCGACGCCCATGGCTGGAAAGTTGAATTTTGACATGACACTGAATAACTTTTTTTCTTCTTATTATTATCTCAATGATGGTCATTTATTGCAAAAATGATAATAGGATATGAATCTGGGAGTGAGAAATATTTCCAATTTTGTTAGGAAATACTTTCTTGACTCCCCAAAGATCACGCCCAGTGAAAATACGCGGGGACGCACTGATAATAAGTAGCCGTATAGCTCCGTGCATAGAGCTTCACAGGGTTTGTAGCGCTATGCTCCGTAGAGGCCCGTTTCGTACACGGCCTGAGGCGCCCGCCGGACGTTGCATGGCCTTCTGGGATACTTACCCAAGTAACCGGCTCGGCGAGTCGGTTAGTTGGGCCAGGCTTGAGTAAGCACGAGAAGTCACGTGAGAGGTAAATCGAACGCTGTCGAGCTTGCACGAGTAAGCGCGGGGAAGTAATGTTATTTTTAGCTGTTCCCAATTTCAATTCAGAAGAGCTTTTGTTTTCGTTAAAGTTTTTTTAGCTGTTCCCAATTTCAATTGGGAACAGCTTTTGTTTTCGTTAATGGTTTTTTCCTTTTTATTTTTATTTTTTGCGAAAAAGCCTTTCTTTTTGTTCTGATTTTTGGCTTTTCCGCATGTGGCGGAAAAGCCTTTATTTTTGTTCTGATTTTTTTTCTTTTTTCTTCTTCTTCCTCTTCCTCTTTTTTCCCCAAAAGCCCATAGACTTTGTACACGTTTATTCTACACGCCACTTTTGCCATTAAACTTTGTTGCATATCGTTCAAAGATTGCATAGGCATAGACCATACAGCATAGATGTAGGCCTATGCGGACGAGCGACGTCATGATGACGTCATCATGGGTCATGTGACGTCATCGCAAAGTTGCATATTTCAATGCCCTATATCTACAGAACGGTACGTCTGATTGGCTTGAAACTCAGCATGTGGTTAGACCGGAAAGTGTTACACATAAGATTTTATTTTATATTCAATTACGAGAATGATAAATTCAAAATTCTTTTTGTATTAGGTTCGCTGGGCAATAGATATATGCACACAATTTGGAAAAATGCGTGACGTCATGATGACTTCAGCAAAAATGTGATTTTTTGAAACACATATAACGGAATGTCCGATCGTCATTAAACTTGGTGGGTGGGTAGATACAAAGTACTAGTACACAAAATCTTGAATGACGTCACGATGACGTCATCGGTCGATTTTTAAAGCTTTTTTAATATTTCCAATTTTATTCTGCTTACAAAATTTAACACTTTCATTAATCCGATTGTTTTCCAACTTGGTACAGACTAAAACCACAATAACATAATGAGCACTGCCAAGTATTGTTACAATGACATCATCATTAGACATGTGACATCATCGTTTGTATATTTTAAGCCCCTATATCTCATCAACAGTAATTTAGATTGGGTTGAAACTTGGTATGGGGGCAGGCCGGGATGTGTTACCAATAAATATTGCGCTGACGTCATCGTGACGTCATCTTGTGATTATTTATATATTTTATATATAAGACTTTTGCCGTATCTCACAAATGCAATATGCCGAAATCAAATTTCATTTTGAATGAGGTTTGTTAGACAAAAGGTAAATGCACACAGTTTTGCACAAAACAGAAAAACATGACCTCAATTTATGAAAAAAACATAATGCGGAAAGGCCCTATGTTCTTTTGCAAACAGACATAGACCTCTAGTTTTTTTCTTCTTTTTCAGCCATTCCCCATAGCATTTGTACACGTTTTTACAGTCGAAGGCACTTTGGGCACTTAAATCAATCCGATTGACTTTATACTCGGCACACACTTAGACCAGCATCTGACGATTTGCCCCAAACATTGACGTCATCGTGACGTCATCACGAATCACGTGACGTCACATAATATGCGATTTTTCTATTATGACCGTTTTCTAGCAGAATTCAGCTAGATCTGACAGATTGGGCTATATCTCCAGAACTATAGGTTCGATTTGGTTGAAAGTTGGTATGTACCTAGACTGGGATGTCTTATAGATGAAAATTAACTTGACGTCATGATGACGTCATCACGTGACATATGACGTTATATAAAATGAACATATTTTGAAGGCCTATATCTCCTGAACTACAGGTCCATTTGGGTTAAAAGTTGGTATGTACCTAGACCGGGAAGTGTTATAGATGAAAATTGAAGTGACGTCACGATTACGTCATCATGGGTCACGTGACGTCACGTTAAAGATTAATAGATCTTTGAAAATCAATATAAATTCAACCGTGAGAGAACTGAACTTGACGTTTGCAGGAATCGATAGAATAATCCAGGGTCTTAATTTTTATATACTATGTGCAAAATCACGTGACCCTTCCTTGGCCTTGTAATTTAAAATTGGTGAAAGATGTGAACTTGCTTTCAACGATGTATGCTATGGCTAAGTTGTAATTTACAAACAAAAATATAGCTATAGATGAAAATTGTTGTGACGTAATCATGACGTCATTACGTCACATGTGACGTAATAATTCAAAGCCCTATGGGAATGTAATCACATATTATATGCCACCAGTTATTATCAACAGAACTACACATTCTTTCTGGATGGAACTTGTACTTCAAACTTTACATGTCACATGTCACCAAAAATACCGAAACAGCCCTATGTTTGTCCACAAACATAAGTCTAGTTACTTTTAAAGTTGTGTAAGGCCGAATACAAAAAAAACGTGTTTCTCGTCGGGGTTTTTGAAAGATGGTCGCCATTTTAAAATTTCCTGCAACCGTTGGTGTTTCCACTGTTCAAAGACACTTTTAAAATGAAAGACAAGTTGGACAAGAAAACTGAACATATTTGTCAGTTAGAGTTGTATTGGTCACATGTTTCGCAAGCATTTATTTTCCAATGAATTTGTGGACTTTTTCGGTGTTTTTAACTGCATTTTTCAAACATAAAAAAAAACAATTAAAAAATCCAGGCGGCCTCCAAAAAGGAAGCGGGCGGGACGAGAAACAAGGTTTTTTTTTTTTTACTTCGCCTAATAAAAGGACCACCGGACATCTGTAGTGTAAGTTTCAATTCAACCTTTTATAATGTATAGCAAACATCACAGAGAAACTTGATACGATCAAAACATGCATTGTGACAATATACAAATGTGTGCACAAATGCACATGGAGGGGGTGGCGGCCACGCCCCTCCACTCTTTTTGCACCACTTCTAAGTTAATTTGTCTAACCTAAAACCGGTGCATTGTAATTTTCTAAAACTACCAATTATTAAGGCATAACAAAAACTGGTTATATTTATCGTTTGTTATGCATCTGGGAAGTTTCAACTGAATTCAATCTGCTACTGTCATGCGCACTACCATGCATATGTGCATGTGTGTACATTATCAATGGGAAAAGTTGTTCAATTATGAATGGGAGCTCTATTTTCATAAAATGGGTTTCAAAACAACTGAAATACATCAGTAAACATGTCAGAGAAACTTGGCACGATTAAAAACAAACACATTGTGACGAAATGGACGAAATTGCACATGGAGGGGGTGGCGGCCACGCCCCCTCCACTCATAATACACATGTGCATGATACGTTTATATTATCAAAGGGAAAAGTTAACTTAGGCCTACCTGTTCTGGAAAATATATCCTCCAATATTTGATCCAGGCCATTATTTGCCCCTTCTTTTGGGCCCCACGGGCCACATGCAGCAGCTAGGGGGTCCCCGGCAGACATCTATATCTGAATATGTTAGGTCACACAATGTTTCTGTGCTCGGATATTGGTACCTTGTTCGTTTGACCGAAATGCTCTGGACTGCCGTACTAATAGTCCAGTACTGAAGAACTGACATAGATGAAAAAAATTGCCATAAACTGTTTCACGGCCCCTGGACTGTTTCCCCACTTTCTAAAGTGGGGGAGGGGGGAGGGGGGGGGTGCTATCATATCGTTTTTCTTCAACTGTTTTTCGTCCCTGACTAAAAATTGGAGCATATGTATAGCTCAGAATAGCTGATTCAGGATTCCAAACTCAAAAATGAAGTTTAAGTGATAATCTTTTTCTTAACAAACTTGGTTAAAGTTGTCAGAAATTGAATCAGATCGAATTTGTCGGGGCCCTTAAGCCGGCCCCGAACGCCAACCATTAAGGCTTGGCGCTTCGCGCTCGCATTGGTTCTGATCAAGGTATGCCCCCTCCCCCTTCTTGTGAGAAGTGACGCCCTTGCTCGGCGTGCCATTGCACTGTCCAAGTGCTACGCGTTACTCATGAAGGCCTACAACTGACCCTCAGTCGCCACGTGTATTGGCATTTGACTTATGCGGATACGGCCGGGCTGGCGGTGTGCATATGGGTGTTGCGAAGGGGGGGGGGGGGCTGGGGATCCTCTCCCCCCCCCTTAGAGAAAAAAATAGAGAAGAAGAAAAGGGGATGTGACACAGAAAAAGAGGCACGAAGTCATATTGTTGTTAATTGTATGGGGCCGAATGTCATTGCCCACCCTCAAAAAATGATAAATCGAGAATAATATGCTGGAAAAGTACAAGAATTTTTTTGGGAGGGGGGTATTGTGCTGCGCCCCAACCCTTCCCCCTCAAAAAAAAATCTTGGCGACGCACTCACCACCCAGCCAATTAGCATTGTATTATGAGTCTTTATTATATTTTCACCATTATAAACCGTTTCTTAAAAATGTAAACCTTTATCCCTATACAGATATTGTCAACTATGGTCATTGAAGAACCCAAACAGAAACTCGCTGACGAAGATGCTCCGGAGTGCAGCTATTGCTCTGTCAGACCGCCGTGTCTTCAACGCTTCGCACGGCCGGCTATCTTCGTTGTCGTTGTCAGCATGTTCCTCTTTGCCGATAGTTTTATCGTCGGGGTGATCCAGGGGACGATAACCACAATTGAACACCGGTATCAGTTCAGTCTTGGTCAGATTGGCCTGTTATTATCAGGCTTTTCCGTAGGCGGCGTCTTTGGCAACGTGCTCGTGATCTTATTCTTCAGTAAGCCGGATACCAATCGACCACGCCTACTGGGAATATGTTCCCTGTTGAGTGGTCTTGCGACTGTTGTTGGAACCATCCCACAGTTCATTCAAGATCCATACGTTCCTGCAGGTCTTGAGGCTACCAATGACACAGAGGGCGCGTTTCAGCAGGTAGAGATGCTGTGCATGGCAGACAAGTCGGGGGCAGATTGCACAGACCAGCCGGCTGAGACTGTGTCTCCTAATCAGGTTGCTTTCTACATTCTGCTGTCAAGCACACTGCTTGAAGGTGCAAGTATCATGATCATGTTCACAACAGTGTACGCATACATCTCGGACAATACAACTCCAAAAGATACGGCCTTTTATACAGGTAACTGTGTTTTAATCACATCAGATGTAAATCTGCCATTGATTTTTACTAAATTGAACTACCTTATGTTTTCTTCAGTATGCTACAATCTAAAAGTGTGATGGTATATAAATATTGAGTGGCTCAGAGTGAAATGGGAGGAATATTATCGGAAGGTAAAATCTGGACATTTCCATTTCACGAGGCGAAGCCGAGTGAACTGAAAAAGTCCAGATTTTACCGAGCGATAATATTTCTCCCATTGAAGCCCAGGCGCAGATCCAGAGGGAGGGTTTTGGGGGTGTCCCCCCCGCTCTGTCCCAAACATATTTTTCCATACAAAGTCCTGGGGACAAAAAATGCGAAACCACCCCCCCCCCCCTGCTCCGACACCCATTTTTTTTGTTGCTAGTATTAATGTCCGCCTGGCATAAAATACGTACCGAGCCAGCTTGGTTAGGGGGTACACGTACATTATTCTGTGATAAAGTGTTAATAATCGTCGGATTTGAACAGCACCCCCATCGAAAGTATGGTACGACCCCCCCCCCCCCGCTTTTTGATTGTACGCCCCTTAAGCCACTCAATATTTGTTTTATATAACTGACTTTGGCCAATAGATCCATGTCATTTGACATATATGAACTTTTACACACGGTATAAATAATAACTGATTAATGGAAAATATCGCCCTAGATTATTAGTTTCTCTCCAATAACCATTTTTTTAATCAGGTATCTGGGGAGCTGTGGAAGGCCTGTCACCAGTAGCAGGCATCTTCGCGACTGCGGCATTTCTTGGTCTGTGGGTAGACTTCTACAGAATCCCATCATCAGCCGTGCCCGTGACTCCCGAGGACAGGGTGTGGGTGGGAGCATGGTGGCTGGGCTACCTTGTTGCTTCAGTCTTGTATGTGCTACCAGTGTTGCCCTTCTTTGGATTTCCCGTGGTCATGAGAAAGTCCCGTACCAACGCCAAAGGCAGCGACAGCGTCAGTGGAGATGACGGGGACACGGACAATAAGAGTGGGACACGGTTCCCCAAAGGAGAAACTTCGAGTGGTAATGAAAATAATGATGTTTACATATTATTCTACAGTTCGTTTGCGCTGATAAATTATGGCCTGTAACTCTCTGATGATCAATGGCAAAAGTTACAGGGACTGTTTGTTTATACCATGGTATAATTTTAAACGTGTTTGAGGGATTCATTTTCGCGATTATATCCCCAAACAGGTAGTTTGTCGACGTTGTGGAAGGTGTTGAAAAACCGTGACTGCATGCTGACATGCCTGTCCCAAGCTGGTGCTATCCTCCTTGTGTATGGCTATGGTGTCTTCGTTCCCAAGTACCTGGAAATTCAGTTTGAGGTGGAAACCCGACTTGCCGACATCCTGACAGGTAAGGCTGCAATAGTTACATCAGGCATTGGTAGATTTGGGGAAACTACAACATGGGGTTAAGGCGGCCTACTCACCACAGTGCACTAGTGGTGTGGTTGTGTTCATTTTACTTACCAATATATTCGCGTCATTGTAAAAGCATGATGTGACATCACAATGACGTAATTACTTGACTATTCATCTAGTGCAGGAAGTATTACAGGTTAAATTATCCCCCTCTCTCTCTCTCTCTTGTTTTCTTCAAACAATTTAACGCAATCATACATATTCAGAATAGTTACACTTTTCTCAATTACTAAGTTGACTAATAAGACGATGTTCCGGTAACTGTAGATTTGATTAATGTCGAACTTTAGAAAGTGACCAAAAATACATTGCATCTGGGCACCATTTAAGCAATACCTTGTTACAAAAGCAAATTTATCCACATTAACATTTTTCCCTTTCAAACAGCAAAAGGAATCATTGGGCAATATGAACAATAAATACACATTTGAGAACGGCTAAGATAAGGACTATGCAACTCACATTTAACATTACGAAATCAATTACAGTTACCAAATTTAAACGGCGAGACCTTGTGATACTTATTGTCCTATATATCCATCATTCATCAGGTTGTCTTCTAGCTCCTGCATACGCCGTCGGCTTCATGGTGGCTGGTTCCCTCGTCAAACGATTCAACATTCAATACCGGGGCCTAGTCTCCCTCTCGTGCGTCGCACTGGCTCTCGGCGTCGCTGGCCTCACGGCGAATTTGTTCATTGGTTGCCCAAATGAGAATGTTGCCGGTGTCTTCACGCCATACAAGGGACAAAGGCATGCTAGTAACAATTGTGTAAACTGTAGCCGACACAAAGTCATTTTGGTATAATTTATTAGGTCATGACGAGTGTTGTATGTATGACGAATGATAGACAGATTTGAGTCTACCCGATGTTGTTCTCCAAAATCCTTAGCGTTAGGGTAACGGTTGGGGAACATAGGTTTTGGGGAACATATAGGTATGCACCCGACAGATTTAGTACGTGTGATCATTTCTGAAAATAAATAGTACACGATTCTCGTTTTTCAGCCAGCTTGATTTAGAGGCGCCCTGCAACTCAGCCTGTGAATGTTCTTTGTCTGCGTACTCACCTGTATGCGATGGCCATGGGATCACCTATATATCAGCCTGCCACGCAGGATGCCAACTCGTCACTGAGCAGGTATGGGTAGATATAGTCCGAAAATTTGGGACTCTTAATGCTGTGTATGAGAGTCCCACAACTTAAGGTACTGAAAACATGCACAACAAGACAATAGACTGACATCTGAAACAGCCAGTCCAACAACTCTTCAGTACTGCATCAATCAACTGTCGGCTGACTGTGCCAAAAGAAATATATAGGATGTCGGGTACCAGGTCACTATTTCTACACATTTCTCCATAGTCAGGCACCAGAATAATGACACTGAATGACGACGTCAGTCCTGTAAAAAACTTGGACCATGATGGACATGTACAAGTCTAGTTTTTAGCCTCATTTTGAAATCACTTGGCTTCCCTCTCATGTGCAAGCCACTGCCAACTATTGAAGAAAAGTCGCTTTCAAAAATTGAATTGAGTCTCAAACTTGGTTGGTGAAATACTGAGGAACTTTTCTTTGCCCAATGAAAGTTTTGGAGAATTAAATTTGCAGGATAAAAAGTGAGTAAAGTTGGCCTGATCTTTTGTATCGTTTTGAGAACTTAAGTTCCCAGTCTGGGGGTAGATTCTGCTTCCGACACTGAAGGGGAATTTGACCAATAGGCTACTAATCATTTGACTCTGCCATTGTTTTTGGTCAACAAGCTAAATATATTATAAAGAGGTAAAATACGGTTTACCTGTACATGTATACCTCATTCAACTAATGCCCATTCGCCTGCAGAATCAGGAATATGGAGATTGTTCATGCTTAGCCACTGGACCAACCAACCTAAATGGTACACTTCTGACGGTTGAGGGCGCTTGTGACAGTCATTGCATCTCCTATGCACCGTACCTGGTTTTGCTGACTGCAGTACTGCTGTTTGCGCAGTTCGCACAGCTCATGCGTTTTAATATCGTCATGAGGTAACTTTTTTTCCATTCGCTATTATACAAGTATTGAATGCTTCGAGTGGTGTAGTAAAACTAGCCTCCCGAGGTTATCCATGGACCATTCTATTTTCCCGAGGCGAAGCCGAGGGAAAATAGAATGGTCCATGGATCACCGAGGAAGGCTAGTTTTACTTCACCACGAGATAAAGCATTCAATTTTTGTTTTATAACACTTTACTCACAGATTCTGCTTGATTTTAATATTTTAAATTATTTAAATCTGAACACAGTTGAAATAATCTTCAATTTCAATACAAAATTGGTGGATAGTGTATTTCTCTCTTAAAAACTACCCCTTCACGAAATGTTTGAACGCTCTCTTTGGAATAATACGCACTACGCACAACGCGCAATGCGCACACCAGCATGCATTTACACACAAATACCGCGCCGTGGAAATAGTACTTTGGTTGCTAATGGTATAGTACTTTGGTTGCTATGCGCATAGTACTTTTGGCCGTGCACAGAAAGATAGCAAAATTAGAAAGTAACATGTGACTCGCTCTCGGCCAATCAAGACACAGAATCTGTGGGTGAGGTGTTATAAAACTTTTTATACAACACCTGAATAAATCCCCGTCATCTGATTGGTGGGTCGTTGATCACATGTCATTGAATTATTCGTACCAACGCACGGCGCGCGCGCGGCGCGCAGCGTACAGTGCAATGGAAGTTCTATTGCACGGTGAATAGAACTTCCATTGCACGGTGTCACTGCTGCCGGTGGTGGCGCTGTTTTAAATCGAGATAAAATTGAATATGATGATTCCCAACCTGTTGAACAGTTTGCACAAATTAAATATGATGAACATGTCGATCTTTTAAACAGTTTTTAACCTGAATATATTGGCTATTAAAAGTCGACCAACCAAATGACAAAGACGGGCGTTATATAAAGCAAATAATGAATGTTTCACGTTCGTGCATTGGAAAGAATAATTTCATTCGGTGAAAGGTGAAATGTCCCATTCCACTCGGCTTTGCTTCGTGGAATGGAACATTTGATCTGTCTCCTCATCAAATTATTTTTACCATTGCACTCACAAACATTCATTATTTGTATAGTATTTTTTTTGTATTGAAAACTCATCGGGCAAGGCCCCTTTCGTATAAATTTCTAACTCCAATACAGAAAGCGACTTGCAGTGTTATTTAATTTGTTTTGATTTGAGGGATTTTGAGGATATTTTTTATAATAAAAAAAAATGAAATATTTTTTTTTTTTTTTAAAAGATGCGTTTCATCGGCAGAAAGGCCTGTGGCTCTGGCAATCCTATATCTTGCCGGTCTACTCGGTGAGTACGAACACATAGGTTGTTTTGATTTGAGGATATTTTTATACTGAAAAAAACCCCCACAATACAGGTTTTCCCGGCCACTTTCCTAAAATGTTCATTCGCTTCTGAAGAAAGGTCATGCGCTTTCGTCTGAATTTTGAGCATCGCTCTGAACACGCTTTTTACCCGACAGCAGAAAAGTAGATGTCCGGTTTTGTCCCCCGTAATGGAACATTAAAGGCAAACATTCAAAATATTATGAAATATCCTATTTGATTGTAAGGAAATAATAGGACCAAGTATCCTGTGAAATCACTGCACCTATATTGTCATTTTCGAGAACAAAGGAATTCTCATCATTTTCCTCGCAATGGTAATGAGCAAACCATCACGCTTTGAATGGAAATCTATGCTTTGCGTCGAGAACAAAAGGAAGATGCATTGTCACAGTTTTCTCAAATGGTATAATGTCACCTAAAGCCGAAATTAAATTTCCACAAGATACCTTGTTTTATTATTCTGCTTCCAATTAATTGTGATGTTCCTTGAGGGCGCGCGATCCGAGTTGAGTTGAATTTGTAATTGAATCGGCAAAAAAATTTTTTTTTTTTGCAAATGGTGTCACCTGTGTACCTAATTTACCTTGACAAACAATTTTACTCGGTTCTAGATGTGAAAATGTTTCAAAAGCCGATTCAATCCCGAATTTTATTTTTGTCCACATGTTTTTTTTGTCTTAGGTACTATCCCGGCTAGTTATATGTTTGGCGCCCTCATCGACACCGCCTGCGTGGGATGGCAACAAACGTGTTATGGCCAAGGAGCATGTTTTCTGTACGACAAGGTCTGGTACCGCTACACCTTCAACGGCTCGGCATTGGGGGTTGCGATCATATGTCTTGGCTCCATGCTCATTGTATGGAAGTTTCCTTCGTACACAGATAAAGATGCCAATGATGACGTGAAGGGGAAGGAAAATAAAGCAAGCACTCACAACCAGCAGATAACAAATTTTGCCTATTTTGGGAAAACGTAATCTTGCTCCCGTGTTTCAGCTTGATTGTGTAGTTTAAATAAGTACGGTAATATGAAAATGGATATATACATATGTATTTTCGAATGAATGGTATTCAATTTTAATTATAAATCTCCTCGGGATGCAATTCATTACGGATTCCGCACAGACCTTTTAGGGTTGAGGAGACTGAGTTTAATCTCCGAGAGTATTATTCTCATTTGATGATTTTTTTAAAATAAAAATGTGATGCGATCAAGAGAAATGAGTCGTTTGTCGACCCTGGTCATTTTTTTTTACAGATTTGAAAAGAGCATGTAGGAATTGGTTGCACTGTCCTACTTTAACTCCCGAGTTTATTGCAAGTTAAGTGACTCACCAAGTTGCAGTATGTAAACAGCCAAAACTGGGCCGAGTCCATGCACAACGCAACGCGAACGGGGCGACTGCCCGCGCCGTGAATGCGGGGCGAGTTGGTTTCAACTCACGTGGTGAAAACGCTCACAAAGTTCGGTCAAATAAACACTCACAAAAATCCACGGGAGAAACTTGGATTGCTCACTGGAATAGCTCTGCCGATGTTTAATAAATCATGTAAAGAATAGCGTTGATTCTAGCTTGTAACTTCCAAGCGAAATTATAGGAAAAGCACTGTAAATATTGCGTGTGTGACAGAAAATAGCATAGACGAACGATAACGAAACGAAACTGAATGCGTGAAGGTTGACCTCTGAACTAAACATATATACAAGATGCGTTAAAGGCGCAGTGCAGGGTAACTTAAAGTGAACGCTACAGTAGCCCCCCTCTAGATCGCAAAATGGTATTGAAGCGAGCGATAAGTGTTCAGGTTAAATCAACCACAGTCAAAGTCTGTGTACTTGGATGGCCAATGAACATGCCGGCCAGAACGCGAGTGCCGTTGAGCTGCTGGTGTTGCTGTGTGTTGGTCATCAACCGTGTGCGTAGGGATGGCAGGAGATGGCTGTACATGCTTAAGCTCTAGGGTAGATGGCTGGGAAGGGGTGGTATCTGTATCGAGGTAAGCAACTTTCAACCGATCTAAGCTGACTGTGTCCTGCCTTCCATCCAGGTCGAGTGTGAAGTACTTGTCTGTCCGGCTGAGTACTCGGTATGGACCTTTGTAGGGTGTTTGGAGGGGTTTCTGCACATGATCGCAACGGACAAATACATGCTTGCACAACATCAAATCCTTGTGAATTTGTGCAGTTCTGTCTCGCGACCGAGGCGGTGTGGGTCTGATGTGCTGCATCGTGTGTCGCAGTCTGTGAACATAGTCTGCAGGGTCGGCGAGATTACCAGTATCGTTGGGGGGTGCAACAAACTGTCCTAGAAGTCTCAGGGTGGTGCCAAACACCAATTCGGCGGTGGAGCAACCAAGATCCTGCTTTACCACCGTGCGGATCCCGAGGAGGATGAGTGGTAATGCTTCGGTCCAACGTTGAGGGTTAGTACTCGATTTGAGAGAGGCCTTGAGCTGTCTATGCAGGCGTTCAACCATACCGTTTGCTATGGGGTGGTACGATGTTGTTCGCGTGCGTCTGGTACCTAGGAGAACCATCAAAGCGTGGAACAGGGCCGACTCAAACTGTCGTCCGCGGTCTGTGGTTATCGTAGACGGAGCACCAAAGGTGGAGACCCATCTGTTCACAAAGGCCTTGGCGACTGTTTCAGCGGTGCAGTCGGGTATAGGTATTGCTTCTGGCCAGCGTGTAAACCTGTCAACGCATGTGAGTAGATAGCAATATCCCTGGGAAGGGGGGAGTGGTCCCACGATGTCTATGTGCACATGATCGAAACGTGCATCTGGAGATGCGAAGGTTCCAAACGGAGTCTTGGTGTGGCTGTGGACCTTGGACTTCTGGCACTTGACGCAGGCCTTGGCCCATGCTCTGATGTCTGAGTTCATGCGTGGCCAGACGTAGCGTGAACCAACCAGTTTCAGTGTTGCTCGAATGCCAGGGTGAGACAGATTGTGCAAGGAATCGAACACACTCCGTCTGTGGTTTTGGGGTACGAAAGGGCGTTCATGACTTGTCGACACGTCGCACCAGATGGATGTATTTGAGTTCGGTATCGGAACTTGCTTGAGGTCCAGGGATGTGGGTGATTCCAGGATTCTGTGTAGTTCCTGGTCGTGTGTCTGATCCATGGCCATCTGCTCGAAGTCAATCTGGGTTGATGTTGTCAAGGCACTGATGTGAGATCGGGAAAGCGCATCCGCTACAACGTTCTCTGTGCCCTTGATGTGACGAATGTCGGATGTAAACTGAGATACATAGTCCAGGTGACGAACTTCTCTAGGTGAATGCCGGTCAGGTTTGGAGTTGAGAGCATACACCAACGGTTTGTGGTCAGTGTAAATGCAGAATTCTCGTCCTTCGATGAAGTGTCGAAAGTGTCTGACTGACAAGTACATGGCCAGTAGTTCGCGCCCGAAGGTGCTATAGCGACTCTCTGCAGGTTTAAGACGCTGAGAGAAGAAGGCCAGGGGGTGCCATACTCCTTCGGAAAGTTGCTGAAGCACACCGCCAACTGCCGTGTCCGAGGCGTCCACCATCATGGCAGTTGGTAGTACCGAAGAAGGGTGAGCGAGAAGTGTGGTGTCAGCGAGTGATTGCTTGATCTGCAGGAACGCTGTCTGGCATTCGGGTGTCCAATTCAGTTTGGTTGATTTGCGTGACTGGTTGGGTCTTTTTCGCAGCTGGTCTGTCAGCGAGGCGATCACGCTTGCGCAGTTTGGCACGAAACGACGGTAAAAGTTTACCAGTCCCAAAAATCTGCGCAGTTGACGGGTGGAGGTAGGCTGAGGGAACTCTGCAATCGCGTTGACTCTGTCTCTCATGGGACGGATACCATCAGCGTCGATTCTGTGTCCCAGGAAATCGAGGGTGGGAACCCCGAACTGGCATTTGGATGGGTTGATGAAAATGCCATATTCGGAAAGTCTGCTGAAGAGAAGACGCAAGTACTCAAGATGGTCCTCCTCTGTCTCACTCGCGACCAGGATGTCATCGATGTAGGCGTACACGAAAGGTAAGTCTCGCGTAACCATGTCGATGATCGTTGGAAAGTCTGAGCGGCATTCCGCAGGCCGAAAGGCATGCGAAGGAAGTGGAACAGACCGAAAGGTGTTGTGATGGCGGTCTTGTGGATGTCGTCAGTATGGACCGGAATTTGGTGGTAAGCGCGTACTAAGTCGATCTTTGAGAACACGCGTTTACCCTCCAGATTGGCTGTAAAGTCATGCAGATGGGGAATCGGATAGCGGTCGGGTACTGTAACACGGTTGAGGGCACGGTAGTCTCCGCACGGCCTCCAGTCACCTGACTTCTTGGCCACCATATGTAAAGGCGACGACCATGCACCGTCCGAAGCTTCAATGATGCCGAGATCAAGCATATGATTGAACTCGTCTTTCGCCGTGATGAACTTGTCGGGAGCCAGGCGTCTTGGGCGAGCTGACACTGGGGGACCCTTAGTCACAATGTGATGCGTTATATAGTGCTTAACGTCCTTGGCAGTGTAAGTCGGACGTGTCAGTTCTGGAAATTGTTCAAGGATCACTTCATAGGGCGACTCACTCAGCTTGGCAACGGTTGGACTAATGGGAATGGCATCTGAACCGATTCCACCTACGGTGAGGCTTGTAGTGGAGTCGATGAGTTTGCGACGCTGAACGTCGACTAGCAGTCCGAAGTGTTGGAGAAAATCTGCTCCAATTATTGGGTTTGGCAGGTCCGCGATAATGAACACCCAACGGAAGACTCGACGCAACCCGACATCCAAAGTGAGTGACTTCTCACCATATGTGTTGATGGGAGATTTGTTCACCGCCTGAAGATTGATAGATGAAGACTGGGCATGACGTTTATCCGCAGCCGATGGAGGCCAAACGCTCACTTCCGCTCCCGTATCTACCAGGAACCGGGCCCCTGTCTTGCGTTCAGTGATGAAGAATAGGCGACTATTGGTGTCGGTGCCAGGGAGACTCGTCGCCTTTAGTCGCTGGCATCGGAGTTTCCCTGTTGTTGTTGGGGTTTGAAGCTGCATGGGGACACACACCTTCTGGCATCAGCGCCGAATCGCCAGTGATACCAGCAGTCAGTGCCAGAGTGTGATGGGCTGCGACTGCGAGATGGGCGTCGATTGGGTGGGGTTGTGTCACGCTTCCTCGATCTCCCACGGGGCTGACCGGAGAGTTGGCATGTGAGAGCGCTGACTTGTTGGGTTAGCTGGTCAACTTTGGCTTGTAGTGTGAGCATATCTGAACTTGGCATGGTTGTTGGAGGCGACGAACTGCCAGGCTGGCTGGATGAAACTGCCCCGACATGTACAGTAGGCGAGACAGAAACTTCAACAATCTTGTCTGCAAGTTCTGCGAGTTGCTCAATGGGTGTCGTTTGAGATGTTGATGCCAGGATAAGTTGGGCGTTGGTCGATAATCTCTGAAGAAACAGTTGTTTCAGGATGTTTTCTTCAAGCGTGTTGTCTCCTAACAACTGCCGCATACGACGTAGTAATTGTGAAGGCTTGCGGTCCCCCAGCTCCTCCGATATTAGCAACTGGTGCAGTCTTTTCTGCTCTGATACGGAGGTTCGACGGATGAGGGCGGTCTTCAGGCTGTCGTAGGCATTATGCTCAGGGGGTGAAATGAGGATGTCCCTCACTTCAGTTGCAAACTCTGGCTGCAAGGAACCAACCACGTATGCGAATTTGGTGTGTTGCTGAGTGATGTTACGGGTTAGAAATTGCGCTTCCACTTGCGCAAACCAAAGGGCAGGGTCACTGGGCCAAAATGGAGGCAACTTCAAAGTCACTGCAGCTGATGTTGTGGGTGCAGATGGAGATGAACTAGCAGTAGCACCTTTGGACGTGCCCGGTTTGGAATCAGCATGATCAGAGTCAGATTTGGTTTCCATGTTGTTCGGCTCAGGTCTGGGTCACCAATGTAGGAATTGGTTGCACTGTCCTACTTTAACTCCCGAGTTTATTGCAAGTTAAGTGACTCACCAAGTTGCAGTATGTAAACAGCCAAAACTGGGCCGAGTCCATGCACAACGCAACGCGAACGGGGCGACTGCCCGCGCCGTGAATGCGGGGCGAGTTGGTTTCAACTCACGTGGTGAAAACGCTCACAAAGTTCGGTCAAATAAACACTCACAAAAATCCACGGGAGAAACTTGGATTGCTCACTGGAATAGCTCTGCCGATGTTTAATAAATCATGTAAAGAATAGCGTTGATTCTAGCTTGTAACTTCCAAGCGAAATTATAGGAAAAGCACTGTAAATATTGCGTGTGTGACAGAAAATAGCATAGACGAACGATAACGAAACGAAACTGAATGCGTGAAGGTTGACCTCTGAACTAAACATATATACAAGATGCGTTAAAGGCGCAGTGCAGGGTAACTTAAAGTGAACGCTACAAGCACAATCTTAGCATTACTGCTGTGAAAACCGTATGCGGGTACCCATCTTTAGTTTAAAAATCATGAAAGTCGGAACACCAAGATTGTGATGAAGTGATGTGATGAAGTCCTATTGTGGTCTTATTTTGGCCTGAATCTCCAAATGAAAATTCCCGACAAACGACTCGTAGCTTGATCGCATCACAAATATTGATTTGGTGTGAGAAAACTGAAATTAATCCTACATGAAACATCCCAGACTATCGTTATTTTCAATGGACTGTTTTAGTAATAATATTTCTTATTTGGTTTCAGAAGACAGATTAATCATCCATGTAACCTCGTAGAGTACATGTTTATTGTTTCCTTAAATATTTTAGTAATAATGTTTCTTATTTGGTTTCGGAAGACTGAGTTAAATGCTCAATGTAACCTCCTAGAATTTTTTTTTACGAATTGTTTCAGTAGTAGCGTTTCTTTTTTGGTTTAGGAAGACTGGGTTTAATGCGCTTCGTAACCTCTTTAAATATAAGGATTTTCATGAATTGTTTTTAGTAAAAATATTTCTTATTTGTTTATAAGGAAGACTGCGCTTAATACGCTATGAAACCTTCAAGAATGTATTTTTTTCACGAATTGTTTTTAGTAATTATGACAATAAGAAGACTGACTCAAATTTTGGTTATCTAATTGTTTTTAGTAATAATATTTCTTATTTGATTAGGAAGTGTACATTTAAAACTCTATGTAACCTCTTAGGTTATGATTTTTGCATGAATTGTTTTATAGTAATAATTTTTCTTATTTGGTTTAGGAAGATTGAGTTTAACACTAAAAGGGCCACCTTGAAGGATATTTTTGAGAGTTTTAAGAGGATCGAGAGCGTCATCTGCGATTTCAAAGTTGACATTTGAAGGAAAAAAAAGGATGGAAAAACTAGAGGTATGCGTCTGTTTTGAACAGAGCACACGGCTTTTCCGTTGTCCGTATTTTTGTGTTTGATAATATTTGTTTTAAAAAATCGGACAAATGACTCTATATTGTGGAGTACTTTCAAACATGACTAATGACGACGTCATTATGATGTGACTTGTTTAAGACCAACTTTACCGAAGGGCCTTGTACTGTGCGTAGTTTAAAGTTAATAATGATCCTATTTCATGTACAATTTTGCAAGTAGAAGAAAATGTCAAAGTTTAAAAAAATTATAACAAATCAAGCGATGACGTCATCATGACGTCACTTCGGATTTTGCATACTAGTAACTGTATCTGCATATCCACCAAGTTTCAAGACGATCAGACTTACCCTTATATGTGAAATACAAAAATCGCATTTTTGATGACGTCATCATGACGTCATGCACTTTTCACTTTTTTGGTCCAAGTATACATTACCTAACAAACCCATTGCAAATAGAATTTTGAATTTACCATGTTCCGTTGATAAGATATGGTTTGAGGGTCCAAAACTTCAAAAATTCTTATAAAATCACACGATGACGTCATCGTGACGTCACTCCAATTTTTACCTATAACACATCCCGGTCTACCTACATACCAAGTGTGAACCAAATTGGACTTACCATTCTCGCGATATAGGGCCCTAAAGTATGCACCTTTAAGATGACGTCACATGACCCATGATGACGTCATCATTGCGTCTATCTTCGCGAAAGACCTTTGCTATATGTTCTTTGACTATGTAAAGTTTCAATGTTATATGAGTATGCTTTATGCAAAAAGTGCCGATGAGAAAAAACGTGCACAAAGTCTATGGCATTTTGGTTGGAAGTCCCAAGAGGAAAAAAAAACAAAAAAACTAGAGATCTATGTCTGTTTGCAACAGAACATAGGGCTTTTCCGCATTATGATTTTTTTTTTATCAATAATACATCCCTGACTATGCATGAACATAAAATCTGTCAAAGTTAGCCGAAAATCAGCTAAAACGGTCAATGTGGACATGATTTGACCTCAGCAACACGTGCGCTGCGGGCTGACTGACATATGATGTATGTGCGTATTTACAACGTACGTGCATGTGCTATACACATTGTGGAAGTCCTGTGCATGTTTTACAGCTCTCTACCGCAACTTGCGTCAACTGTGTGAACAATTTGACAAGCTGGGAACTTGGCACTGTTGAGGCAAATGTTTACGCTATCATTAAATGGGCAATTTAAGATTATATCTGTACGGATTGATTTGTTAGCAATTTTTAAAAAAGGAAAGGTCTTTTCAACGGAACTTCCAGTCTGATGATGTCATATGCCTAAGACTTTGCACACGTCTTAAGTGGGTCAAGATCATCATATACACCAATATTTAGGCAATTCCGACAAACTTCGCCACAGACATCTATTCAAAATACAATTTTGAAAATGTTCAACCTGTCGCTAGAGGGCGCTCGAAGATTACATGACGTCATCGGTAGATGATTTGAAGAATACTATTAGCCAAGAGACTAACATTGTTGAAAGCAAGTTCATATCTATTACCACTTTTAAATAATAAGCCACTTCCGGTTTTGGCCTTTTTCGACCGGAAGCAAGGGTCACGTGATTTCACGCACACTGAATGAAATAAAGACCTCAACCTACTCTACTACTTGCCGGCAACAGAATGCTGCAGACGCGTACGGTTGATTTCTTATGCATTTTTAAATATTAAAAGTGTCACAATTTAATTGCCTATAAATAAACACAGGATGACGTCATCATGACGTCATCATTCCACAATGTTGTTTGAATTAGGGTCTTTGCTTAGACAAAGAGTGGTGTAAATTAATTACTGGCAAAGAGTCGAAAATGCCCTTTAAAAAGCGCCAATTTTTTTTAAAATTTCTGTGTACAAAGTCTATGGGAAAAATTAAATATTCAAAAATCTATAATAAATTAGTCGATGACGTCACCATGACGTCAATCTTCGGGACACATCTTTGCTATAGGGACTATGCTTATGCAAACTTTGAATGATGTATGACAAAGATTTATGCCAAAAGTGGTGAGCAGAAATATCGTGTACAAAGTCTATGGGATTTAGGCGACAAAAAGAAGAAGAAAGAGAAACTAGAGGTCTATGTCTGTTTGCAACAGAACATAGGGCTTTTCCGCATTATGATTTTTTTTAATCAATAATATGCCCTGAATATGTATGAACATAAAATCTGTCAAAGTTAGCTGAAAATCGGCTTAAACGGTCACTGTGGACAGGATTTGACCTCGGCAATACGATGTATGTGCGTGTGCACAAGGTCTTTGCTTGGACAAACAGTGATCTAAAAAAATTACTGGCAAACAGTCGAAAACGCACTTTGAAAATCGACAAATATTTTTTAATTTGTTGATGACGTCATCGTGACGTCACTTCGAACTTTGCATACTAGTATGATTAACTACCTACCCACCAAGTTTCATGACAATTGGACCTTTCCTTTTATGAGTTTTGCAAAATCGCATTTTGATGACGTCATAATGACGTCACACATTTTTTTGAAGTTTTGTGCAAATAGCTATTACATAACAGACCAAATGAAAAAAAGAATTTTGCATTTTGCATGTTGCGTTCGGGAGATATGGCTAAAAGGTCCAAACAAATAAATATTCATATAAAATCTCAGGATGACGTCATCATGACGTCACCTCATTTTTAATCTATAACACATCCTGGTATAGCCACACACCAAGTTTCAACCCAATCGGACTTACATTTCTGTAGATATAAGACTTCACAATATGTAGGTAAATTTTCAAAAATCAATAAAGAATTAGGTGATGATGTCATCGTGACGTCATAGTCTTGGCATAATTTTTGTATGAGGGTCTTTCTTGTCTGTAACTTTGATGACGATTCCAGATTGCCAAAATACGAAAATGGTGGCTTGAAAACGTGTACAAAGTCAATAGGTTAAAAATCACACAGCAGAAAAACTGCACCTTTAAATGCGTGATTTTCCTTTAAACTGAAACATTTTTATAAAATATTACTTGCTATTCTAACTCTTGGGAATATTTTCAATCAAATGAAAGGCGTAAAAAAATACGATTTCTTTTTCCTTCTCATAGTTATTCTCAGCCGAAGTTCAGAACTACTCAGCAAGATATATCAGTGTTGTATAGGGAAAGACTTGTGGAGAAAGCTGTGTACAAAGTCTATGAGAAAAATTAATTATTCATAAATCCATAATAAATCACTTGATGACGTCACCATGACGTCACTCTTCGGGACACGTCTTGGCTATAGGGACTATGCTTATGGCAACTTGCAATGATATCTGAAAAAGATTAATGCCAAGAGTGCTATAATACGTCCCTGTCTATGCGCATGCATGAACATAAAATCTGTCAAAGTTAGCCGAAAATCGGCTAAAACGGTCACTGTGGACAGGATTTGACCTCAGCAACACGTGCGCTGCAGGCTGACTGACATACGATGTACGTGCCTATGTACAACGTACGTGCATGTACATACATGTACATTGTGGACGCCCTGTCCTGTGCATGTTTTGA